CGACTTTCTATCAAATCATATGGAGAGCAGAGGTTTTAGGCTATCCCTTCATTGCATTCAGAATGTACTCTATCTTTTAATTTATGGATCTTTATTTTTATAAGATAAGGAGCTTTTTAATTCCTTCAAATTGTTCTGATAGAAAGCTACACTTTTTGTAAGTTTCGCCCTGCTAGTTTCGTCGACTTTCTATAGAATCATAGCAGAGGTTTTAGGCTATCCCTTCATTGCATTCAGAATGTACTCTATCTTTTAATTTATGAATCTTTATCTTTATATGGTAAGGAGCTTTTTAATTGCTTCAAGTTTTTCTGATAGAAAGCTACACTTTTTTGTAAGTTTCGCCCCTGCTAGTTTCGTCGACTTTCTATCAAATCATATGGAGAGCAGAGGCTTAAAACTAGCCCTTCATTGCATTCAGAATGTACTCTATCTTTTAATTTATGAATCTTTATCTATATATGGTAAGGAGCTTTTTAATTCCTTCAAATTTTTCTGATACAAAGCAAAACTCTTTTGCATGTTTCGTCCTTGCTAGTTTCGTTGACTTTCTATCAAATCATATGGAGAGCAGAGGTTTTAGGCTATCCCTTCATTGCATTCAGAATGTACTCTATCTTTTAATTTATGAATCTTTATCTATATATGGTAAGGAGCTTTTTAATTGCTTCAAGTTTTTCTGATAGAAAGCTACACTTTTTTGTAAGTTTCCCCCCTGCTAGTTTCGTCGACTTTCTATCAAATCATATGGAGAGCAGAGGTTTTAGGCTATCCCTTCATTGCATTCAGAATGTACTCTATCTTTTAATTTATGAATCGTTATCTTTATATGGTAAGGAGCTTTTTAAATTCCTTCAAGTTTTTCTTATAGAAAGCTACACTTTTTTGTAAGTTTCGCCCCTGCTAGTTTCGTCGACTTTCTATCATATCATATGGAGAGCAGAGGCTTAAGACTAGCCCTTCATTGCATTCAGAATGTACTCTATCTTTTAATTTATGAATCTTTTTCTTTATATGGTAAGGAGCTTTTTATTCCTTCAAATTTTTCTGATAGAAAGCTACACTTTTTTGTAAGTTTCGCCCCTGCTAGTTTCGTCGACTTTCTATAGAATCATATGGAGAGCAGAGGCTTAAGACTAACCCCTTCATAGCATTCAGAATGTACTCTATCTTTTAATTTATGAATCTTTATCTTTATATGGTAAGGACCTTTTTAATTGCTTCAAGTTTTTCTGATAGAAAGCTACACTTTTTTGTAAGTTTCGCCCTTGCTAGTTTCTTCGACTTTCTATCAAATCATATGGAGAGCAGAGGTTTTAGGCTATCCCTTCATTGCATTCAGAATGTACTCTATCTTTTATTTTATGAATCTTTATCTTTATATGGTAAGGACCTTTTTAATTGCTTCAAGTTTTTCTGATAGAAAGCTACACTTTTTTGTAAGTTTCGCCCCTGCTAGTTTCGTCGACTTTCTATCAAATCATATGGAGAGCAGAGGCTTAAAACTAGCCCTTCATTGCATTCAGAATGTACTCTATCTTTTAATTTATGAATCTTTATCTTTATATGGTAAGGAGCTTTTTATTCCTTCAAATCTTTCTGATAGAAAGCTACACTTTTTTGTAAGTTTCGCCCCTGCTAGTTTCGTCGACTTTCTTTCGAATCATATGAAGAGCAGAGGTTTTAGGCTATCCCTTCATTGCATTCAGAATGTACTCTATCTTTTAATTTATGAATCTTTATCTTTATATGGTAAGGACCTTTTTAATTGCTTCAAGTTTTTCTGATAGAAAGCTACACTTTTTTGTAAGTTTCGCCCCTGCTAGTTTCGTCGACTTTCTATCAAATCATATGGAGAGCAGAGGCTTAAAACTAGCCCTTCATTGCATTCAGAATGTACTCTATCTTTTAATTTATGAATCTTTTTCTTTATATGGTAAGGAGCTTTTTATTCCTTCAAATTTTTCTGATAGAAAGCTACACTTTTTTGTAAGTTTTGCCCCTGCTAGTTTTGTCGACTTTCTATCAAATCATATGGAGAGCAGAGGTTTTAGGCTATCCCTTCATTGCATTCAGAATGTACTCTATCTTTTAATTTATGAATCTTTATCTTTATATGGTAAGGAGCTTTTTAATTGCTTCAAGTTTTTCTGATAGAAAGCTACACTTTTTGTAAGTTTCGCCCCTGCTAGTTTCGTCGACTTTCTTTCGAATCATATGAAGAGCAGAGGTTTTAGGCTATCCCTTCATTGCATTCAGAATGTACTCTATCTTTTAATTTATGAATCTTTATCTTTATATGGTAAGGAGCTTTTTAATTGCTTCAAGTTTTTCTGATAGAAAGCTACACTTTTTTGTAAGTTTCGCCCCTGCTAGTTTCGTCGACTTTCTTTCGAATCATATGGAGAGCAGAGGTTTTAGGCTATCCCTTCATTGCATTCAGAATGTACTCTATCTTTTAATTTATGAATCTTTATCTTTATATGGTAAGGAGCTTTTTAATTGCTTCAAGTTTTTCTGATAGAAAGCTACACTTTTTTGTAAGTTTCGCCCCTGCTAGTTTCGTCGACTTTCTATAGAATCATATGGACAGCAGAGGCTTAAAACTAGCCCTTCTTTGCATTCAGAATGTACTCTATCTTTTAATTTATGAATCTTTATCTTTATATGGTAAGGAGCTTTTTAATTGCTTCAAGTTTTTCTGATAGAAAGCTACACTTTTTTGTTAGTTTCGCCCCTGCTAGTTTAGTCGACTTTCTATCAAATCATATGGAGAGCAGAGGTTTTAGGCCAGCCCTTCTTTGCATTCAGAATGTACTCTATCTTTTAATTTATGAATCTTTATCTTTATATGGTAAGGAGCTTTTTAATTGCTTCAAGTTTTTCTGATAGAAAGCTACACTTTTTTGTTAGTTTCGCCCCTGCTAGTTTAGTCGACTTTCTATCAAATCATATGGAGAGCAGAGGTTTTAGGCCAGCCCTTCATTGCATTCAGATTGTACCCTATCTTTTAATTTGTGAATCTTTATCTTTATATTGTAAGGAGCTATTTAATTCCTTCAAATTGTTCTGATAGAAAGCTACACTTTTTTGTAAGTTTCGCCCCTGCTAGTTTCGTCGACTTTCTATCAAATTATATGGAGAGCAGAGGTTTTAGGCTAGCCCTTCATAGCATTCAGAATGTACTCTATCTTTTAATTTATGAATCGTTATCTTTATATGGTAAGGAGCTTTTTAATTGCTTCAAGTTTTTCTGATACAAAGCGAAACTCTTTTGCCTGTTTCGTCCCTGCTAGTTTCGTCGACTTTCTATCAAATGATATGGAGAGCAGAGGTTTTAGGCTAGCCCTTCATACCATTCAGAATGTTCTCTTTTTTTCATTCTTTTTTTATGTATCATGATCTTTTTCATTTATTTTCTTTTCTGATACAAAGCTACACTCTTTTGTGCGTTTTGTTTTTTCTAGTTTCGTCGACTTTCTATCAACTCAAATGGAGAACAAAGGTTTTAGGCTAGCCCTTCATAGCATTTTAATTATTGATTGAAGTTTTATAGATTTTTATACAATATATTTATATATATATATATATTGTATAGCTGAAAAGACGTGTACATTAGTAAAATCGCAATTTTTGGCGACTAGTTTCGACTTTCCGTCGTATTCACGGAAATCAGCCTATACATATATATATATTTATTCATAGAGTCGTGAACTTTTTAATTTCCTCTATATTTCTAGTAGAAAGCTACATCTTTTTTATGTTTATCCCCTTTAGTTTCATCCATTGCACGTGCAAGCTTGTAAAGAGCGAAGATTGTATGCTTGGCTTTTATAGCATTTAAATTATTCTTTCAATTTGGAATATATCAATGTAGTTTGAGGAGCTTTTTAGTTGCTTCTACATTTCTATTCAAAAGATTAATTTTTTTCTTTAGCCCCTGCTAGTTTCGTATTCTTGCTAGCCCCTTTACTTTCGTTGAATATCTTTTAAGTTTTAAGGAAAACAAAGGTTGTAGGCTAGTCCTTAATTGCATTAAAAAAGTATGCTATGTTTTTAAGTGATGGTATTTACTCTGATAGTGCTACGAGCGTTATTGCTTCTTCTTAGTTTCTGGTGAAAGGCTACACTACCTTAGGTCCCATAGAAGTTTCGTCCACCGTTTGTGAAATTTAGAAGAGAATGCAGGTTATAGGCTAAAATAATTCTTCTAGGCATGTCTGTAATTTTTTTAGTGTTAAGATCTTTTGATTTGCCTTAAATTTCTAGTAAAGGGCTGTTCAGTTTGTCTGTATAGCGCATTCCAGTTTTTTCGAACGTCTGTGAAGTTTAAAGGTAAGCGACAGCCAATCATGAAAATATCTGTTGTTTCTTGTACATTTTTAATCTTTTGATAAATGCTTTCCTCCCAAACTGTATTATATTTTACGATCACGTTCCATCTGTCTCCATCTGCTTTTCAAAGCTGGGTTTCAAGATCTCAAATTAAGCATCGCCATTTTCCACTCTCTCCTTGTCAACATACACCCAATTCGATAAGGTGGCCAGGGAGAGGGCCTAGAGACAGGGGGCAGAAGGCCACAGCTTCTTCATTTTAGGGATGCCAAATTGAATTATAATAATGTTCAGAATTTTCAGTCGGTTGCTTGTGTGCACTTTTTTATCGTTAAACTTGATTGGGAATTTCAAAAAAACTCTGTCAAAACCCACAACATAACTCATTTAAATAGTTATTTTTATAATCCTTAATCTCATTTTTTTAATACTTTTAAAGTTATTTTCAATCATGCTTTTGACGACTGTTTTTCAATTTTGAAATTTTTCTCTATGGTTTTTTTCAAGGTTTTTAACGAATACGTTTCCGGTGTTCCAGAAAGCAGAGACAGAAATGTCGTTTCCAAGAATGAGAGCAGATCAGGCAAGATTTGAGGTGCTAAAAAATGTCTATCTTATGAATTTTTACTCTTTTAGACGTGACTGTTGCCGTATAAGATTTTTTCAATAGCAATGCAGAAGGGCTTGTTAAGAGCATACCCTTAGAGACAGTACCCCCATGTTATTTAAAATACAGGGAAATAGCATCGAATTTATTCCCGGTCCCATCCGTTTTTCGTAATATCACTTTAAGTGATTTTTTTTGAATGACTCTTTTTGACGTACCTTCACTTAATAAATTTATTTGGTGTATAAAATGAAAAGCTTCCAGAATAATAATCAGAAATGTACTTTGGTCTGAAATTTTCCCCGTTCCCGTCCACAAAAATTTTATACCCCTTACAGAAAAACATTGCTGGAAATTTTCCCTTTGGATTTGTAAAAATTGTAGCTTTACTTTTGCTGGTCACGCCTTTTCACGGGTATTTTGGTTGACAAAACTCATACACCGAGTGTAAAAAGTAACAGTCATGAGGTCATTTCAATTCGCTGGTTTGATTTTAAAGCCATACCAGAGTCTAGAAAAGTTTGTAACCTTCCTCCAGACAAAACATCCCAGAAGGCAAACCTTCCTTACAAAACAATAGAAAGTGGGCGTGGCTTGGGTGTGTCACAGGAGCTTCTACTGTTTTTCGTGGACCTTCCTCCGGTCAGTGGCCGTGCGACCATAATGTTTCGGTGTATCGTAGTGGAAGTTCTCACTCGCGGGCAAAAGCCTCGTGGTATTAGAATGGGGCTATTACTTTGGGGGGGCTCAAGTACCAGGCACATAACCGCTGTATCAAAAGACGATTTTGCTCGCGTTCTTTGCCGTAGCCATCATCCTTGTGTACTTCATAGGAGACATCATTCACCCAAAACTAGGTGGATATGCCAATGACTAAATTTCAAATTTAAGGAGAACATTTTCAAAAGGGAAATCAGCGTCTATGGGGACACCAGGGGTCAGTGACTTCAAATAATTTTGTTCAGGTCCTTTTGCCCAGCCCCTAAATCCAAACATGTAATGTAAGCTTCGACCCTTTTAGATAGGTTTACGATTTTTATGTCCCAATTTCAGCAGGCTATTACCATTATCTTTCTCCTCCCAGCCGCCCCTGCCCCAAACACACATCCTCGAAGCTTTTACCGACTGTTAAAGAAACTCAACTTCATCTGTTTTTCTTGGGCCTGCTTTCTAGAAGAGGCGCTCGCGAGACCGGGCTAGAATAAGGTATTTCGCTGAGAAATCATTAGCAAGTTCTAAGAAAAAGAATTTCCAGATTTGTCTTGCTTGCTTCAGAGGTATTTTCATATAAGTAAAATCGCCATTTTAGAAGATTTTGCTTAATATTTCAATAGGTCTGTTTTCCTGAAAGTTCTCTTTTCAATGTTAAACAGTGCCTTTGAATTTCAACAAAAGGAGTTCACACCAACTAGCGTGGTTGGATTTTCTGAACAATTTGCGTTGGGTTGTAAACATCTGACTTTGCGAGTGGATTTTTACGGAATTTTGATTTCTTTTGAGGTAAAGGTATGAATTTATTCTTCTTAAATGATACCCTTCTATGAAACCCTTTATTTGAGGTAGAAATTTTATTTGTTTAGCACCTGGCAGCCCCGATTTACCACACCCCTTGTGAAGTCACGTGTCGATCTGAAGTTTTCGTTTCCCCTACCTCGTCTCCTTCAACGATTTTGTCGCTTGATATTAGGATGAAGTTCCTTCTATGGGCAGCCTTTTTTTTATAGCAATAAAGTGTAGCTACTTATTATGTTTGCCGTCGGATTACGCTCTCGAGCGACTCGACCGTTTTGTAAATATCAACCTAAAATTGCAGCATTGTAACGAGAGGGCCCACAAAAACGACAAAATGCATTTCAGTCAGATTACCCACTGGTATTTAAGGATCAATATATTAAAAATATGTTTGATTTTTCTTTGTCAGTTATGGAAGACTTTGGCCGCTCGCATTTCAGATTTACGAAGAACGTCTTTCCTTCAACCCTCAAGCAGTTGGAGTGAAACGAAGCATTTTGTGAACTTGTGAACTTTATACATATCTTCAAGAACTGAGGACATACAGTTTCAATGTAATTTAATGTATTCATTTTTATTTAATTCAATAATTCAGTATCCTACAACCCCCGAATGTTCCCTTAGAATATTTATCGCCGTTTAACTTGATAATTCCTGTTGCATTAAGCGAGATGCTTTGAATCGGTTTGTTTTTATATTCCTTCTTAAAACTGTCTACGAGCACGCAAATCTTTGCTGCCCTCAGCCGCATTTGACAAGTATTTCAGCTACATTTTGCTAGTTATAAAAGTTGCGAAACGTTTCGATCTTCTTGTTCACTGGACACCGCCGTTTTCCCTTGAATTTCTCCAGATTTTTCTTTGTCATTTTCCTTTGAATTTCCCCCCGATTTTCTATTGTATTTTGCCTTATAATCTTTTGAATTTCCCCCCGTTTTCTATTGTATTTTGCCTTATTATCTTTTGAATTTCCCCCCGTTTTCTATTGTATTTTGCCTTATTATCTTTTGAATTTCCCCCCGTTTTCTATTGTATTTTGCCTTATTATCTTTTGAATTTCCCCCCGTTTTCTATTGTATTTTGCCTTATTATCTTTTGAATTTCCCCCCGTTTTCTATTGTATTTTGCCTTATTATCTTTTGAATTTCCCCCCGTTTTCTATTGTATTTCGCCTAAATTTCTTTTGAATTTCCCCCCGTTATCTATTGTATTTCGTCTCAATTTCTTTTGAATTGCCCCCTGATTTTCCATTGTATTTTGCCTAAATTTCTTTTGAATTTCCCCCCGTTTTCCTTTGTTTTTCGCCTAAATTTCTTTTGAATTTCCCCCCGTTATCTATTGTATTTCGTTTGATTTCTTTTGAATTGCCCCCTGATTTTCCTTTGTATTTCGCCTAAATTTCTTTTGAATTTCCCCCCGTTTTCTATTGTATTTCGCCTCAAATTCTTTTGAATTTCCCCCCGTTTTTCATTGTAATTTGTCTTAGATTCTATTGAATTTACCCCCGACTTTGTAGAATTTCTTTTATATCAATGACAAAGCTGCATTGTATTTTCATCTTGTTTCTTTTGTACTCTGTCGGAAACTTAGTCGATATTTCTATTGAAGTCTCCAATAATTACAATAGAAATTCAAAAGACATTCCCCCGGATTTCTATTGAAATCTCTATTCAAATTGGGATCAGAATTTCAGAGATTCATTGAGCAAAGTCCCCCGGCTTTTCATTGTCTTCAACCAGAAAAGTTGGCCGCGACCAGTGGCTGAGCTAAAGGCGGCTTTGAGCCGCAAATGATTGACAGCTCATTGTCTTTAACCAATCAGATTGCTTCATTTCAGCCCTTTTGGTGGCTGCGGGCAGGAGCCGTCACCTACAAATATACCAATTTCGAGTTAGCCCTTGGCCGCCGAAGGCCACCATTGTTTATTAACCAATCAGATTACGCTATTTTGGCCCCGCTCTATTGTATTTTCAACCAATCAGAACTCGCTATTTCAATTATTCTATTGTTAGTTGACCAATCAGAGCATGCTATTTCTCTATTGTTTTTCTTTTGTTTAGTAGCCAATCAGGTGCCTCTAATTTGCCCGCCTGGCCTCGTTTTCGTTTTACAGAAAGACGGGGGTTCAGTAGCCTCGTTTGTAGCAGTAGAAAGACGGGGGGTTGAAAACAATTCAGTTCGATTTTCTCCACTTCATTCAAGCGATCTTACTCTACGTACAATTTAAGGTCTACTCTATGTGCCGAGGAGACTGTTTTCAGTTGGGGTTTGTCTTAGCATGGTGTTTTAAGCAAAGGGTTAACAAGAGGAAAAAGAAGTTCCCCTTGTTAACCCTCTGATTAAAACACCGTGCTAAGAAAACCCTTTCAATGTTGAGTTAGGGGTTATGTAAACATGGCGTTTTAAGCAAAGGGTTAACAAGAAGGACAAGGCCCTCTTGGTAACTCTCCGATTAAATCGCCGTGCCATAACCCCTAACGCAACACGGAAAACAGTCTCCTAAGCATACTACAAACTAAATACAAAGAATTAAACTACAATTACAAACAAATCTAAGTAGAAACGAAAGGGCTTATCCTAAAAACAGACGAGAACAGGCGCCTTGCTCACATCCATTTAGAAGATAAGCCCAAACCTAGTTTACAAATAAATAGACGGAATAACTAAGATACTTTCTCGCAAAACCGGGTTTCACTCAACGGGAAAAGTATATTGATAATGTCTTAGAGAACGCTACTTACTTATTGAGGTGCCTATCAAACAATCTATTGACAGAGGCCTTAGACAAATAAAGGGAAGGGATGCATGGGTTAACAAGGGGTACAAAATAAGGATAGAGAATTAGAGGGAGGGCTCCGTCGGTTAACAAGGGGTATATAATAAGGATAAGTAAAAATGAAATTAATAATCATGTCAAACCGTCTTAAATTCGATAAAATTAAAGATGAGCTAATGAGCCTTATCAAAAACTGTTGAAACGTCTAAAGGGGGGGGGTTGGTTTAGTGGAGGACATTACTGGGTACACTAGCAAGATAATGTCTTTTATGAGGATCGTAAATTTCGAATAAATAATTCCTTTCTACAGAACAAACCTGTCGATCCTTGTTTCCATATTCTTGTAAAGGGGATCTCAACTCCTATCGATAAATTTCAGTCTTGCGAGATAATACCGGCAAATAACTACTTGTATTCTATCATAATAATATGCAATTTCAAGTCCAATTTCTATAAATTGTTCATAAATCTTCATAATCTCTTTGACTTCAAATTCGTCTTTAGCCCACGTGGTTCACTCTACCAATGTTGATTGCCTGAAAGAAGGATTGAAATGCCAGCAATATCGAAGCAAATGATCCACCAAGAAAACAATTCAATGTGACAAAATCTACGCAAAGTTTCTCATCAACGGTCTTTAATTTTGTCAAAAAAAACTTTCTAAAGTTGACTTGTTTACTTCAAGAATGATCGAACGATGGAACAAATCGAGCTTAACACAATCCACGTTGCCCTAAAACTGCAGTGAAAGAAAACGCATGGAATCCCGTGTCACTTTGCTTCTTTAAGGCTCAAGAGACCCTTGGTCTCCAGGCAAGTCAAATTCTACCCTCGTGCTTTGAGATGCCAGGAAAACTAGAAGTTTGACTTCATGTCGCGAGTTTTTGGTGTTTTGGTTTGCTGGGAAACTTAAAATGCGAAGTGTTTTGGTGATATTCTTTTAAAAAGATAGTGAACCGATAATTTGCAAAGACGTGGCCTAATCACAGAAAAAAACTTTGTGGCCTAACGCAAGAGTCTTATTGTTTACTAAGAGACAACATTCACAGGCATGCTTTGGTACCATTGGGGACCCAGTAACAATCTAGGCAACCTCGGGCATGCCTTGCCAGAGCTTCACGTGCGTGGGTAATTCTCTTGGGAATTTTCTAGACTTCACGATCTTTGCAGTCTTATGAGAAACGCAGCAGTAAAAAAATCAAAGTAAAAACGTTTAAAAATATCGTTTCCCTATGTTAAATTAAAAATACAAGCGTTAAAATATAGTTTTCTTTAAAAGCATAAATAGCTCTTATATGTTACTATCTGTTATGAAATCTCTTGTGCCTGAATTCTAAATGAAATGCTATCAATTCTATGGTATACTTGCTCTTCATTTTGCATTTTTGTGAATTTGAAAATGTTGTAGAATGCCCACAAGATTGCATTGTCGAAAGTTAAAGTAACGTAGACCATTTTCAGTTTTTTCATTCAGTTTTCGAGTTTATTGGTGAAATTATTTCTATTAAAAAATTAGACCGTGTGTTTTCTTGCAGAAAACCGAACTCTGCTTTCACTGCCAAAAAGAGGCAGGGCATGCATCTTCCCAATCACGAATCACTCAATCATCCAATCAACCAACCACTCAATCAACACCAACCAACATCGTCAACCAACCAACAGCAACAAAAGGCAAACTGCAAGCCCTGATCTTTTTAGCAGAAAAAGCAGAGGCTAATAAACTGCAAGATGTTGACTAATTAAAATTTTTTGTCTTGTCTATGGAAAATGCCTGTATTAAATCTAGTACACTTTAGAAATCTACTTCAAAATATCCAGAGTTTTTTATTTTTTCTTTTGAAAATAAACAAAACTTTTTGTAAAAAATAATTTTTGTGCGTAAGAAAACTCAGTGTTTGTATAATTTCTCTGAAACATGAACAGATAAAAAGATTTTCTGAAAAATTCCAATCGATAAAAACTCAAAATTTTGAAGTATTCGTTTCAGTATAATAGCACAAATTTTGCTACGTTAACGAACTTTTCCAAAATCAATGTGTGAAAATTTTTAAAAAAGCAGATTTTGGGAGCTTAGACCTAACCCAATTTGCTTCATTGATACGAGAATATAACACATAAAAATTCAGATATGTTTGGGTTGGGTCCAGTTTTGTAGATACGTGAATAAGTCAGAGGTTAGAGAATACTGGCAGAATTGTGTCTTCTCCACACCTTACTAGAATGTCAGCTCGATTTCTAAGGAAATACCGTCCTATATTATTGGATTGTATGACTCAATACGAAAATTCATATCATCGAATGAAAGACCAGGCAAATATTCGTAAACTGAAACAACTTATTGGGCTAAATTATCGTACACGAGCACTGAATTATCCTACAGCACTTGCCTAGAATGTACCTCGTTGAGGATTCATATTAAGTTAAACATATTATTTCAAAATTCCTCATAACATTTAAATGATCATTATAATACAAAATATGAAATTTGATAAACATGCAAAATGAAATGTGCTCACCATAGATTTAGTGCTGTAACCGCAATCCAGCTTAGTAACTGCAATCCAGTTTTGAGGCTAGAAGAAAAATGGTTTTTGAATTGGACAGTACACACAATTGAAGTTTATAGTGGAATAATGATATAAAAACTGGCATAACTTTTGTAAGCAAACCCATTTTTTGTACTCTTACCCAAATATCGTTGACGATAACTCAAGTAAACATTGTAGAGAAACATTAGGTAAGTGATGAGTTAATTAAAAAAATAATTTCTATTCGATTGGAAGAATCTTTGTAGGAATTTGATAGTGCTTATATGTAACGGCAATGAATTTTAAGCATCAATAGATTGTTTTCTCTAAATTAACTCGTCTTCCTAGCACATTAAGAAAAAATTTAACTCAATTTTCTAGTAAATAAGAACCAGTTGACATAAATCTTAAAATTTAGCGAAAGGCAAAAATGAAAAACTTTAGAATGAAAGCTACTGAAGAATAGTCCAACTAGGCCCTTAGATTTCCTTATTTGCCCAAGCAATACTCCCCAGGACCATAAGAGGCCTTATCATTTTTAGTATGAAACAAATTTATGCTAAAGAAATTTGCAAGCAAAACCAATTTAATTAAGGCTTTCAAGTCTGCGGTAGATTCTTTTATATTGTTATGAAGTTGTCAATGTTGTTTTATATATCAACTAAAAGTATCGGCAAATATGAAAGAAAGCTGAAGAAAATTCGAGAATCTATTGTAAAACTAACAGCATTGGTGCCTTGAAAATCGATAACCCAATAGTTGTCAACCTCTGTCGGTGCAAAAGGTCCACTTGGGTGGAATATGTGACAAGTACCTAGACATCTTCTAGTTTTTGTAACAAAAAGTAAAAAGTACCAAAAAAATTTAATTCAAAGTAGCAAAGAAAATAATCTGTGCCATGTATTAGTTAGAAATGGGTCATCTCATGACATGCAAATATAGCCATTTTTCTTGAAAAAACCTTTTTACATAAAAGGACAAAATAAGAAAAAAATTATTATTAATAGATTTCCCATTCTCTGATAATCCAAAGATTGTACACTTTAATAAAAATGCGAAGATTGCTAAAAGCTTTATAAATATCTGAAACTGTTTGATTCAATTCAAATGGCCATTTCTGAAAATAATGCTCTTAAACCATACCAGTTTTCTGCAAAATCCTATTAGACCAATTGCTTTTCTGTGAATCCCGTCCCAAGCTGAGCTCGTTTTAAGGGAATAAACTAATAACTATTCATTCCTAGCCAATTCTAAAACCTTGCAAACAAAACTTACTCATTAAAGTTCCAGTGGGAATCTTGAATAGGAATCGCGACTTCTTCTGCAAGATATAAAAATTTATTATAAATAATTGATAAGATCTAAAGAAATTAAACTTATCCTGTTATCAGCATGTAATACCTATCTGAAAAAGTTCAAAAATTTATATAGCAGTTTATATTTGGTTGCTACATAGACAAATTTGGATAGCTGGAATCAGCAAAATGACACTTGCTCACCAAAAATACTAGATAAAAAGAGTATATTTTACAAAAAAAGATGATGTTGTATGTAAGCAATTTAAGAATGTAACCAATATTTTTGCGGGCATATATCTTTTGCAGACTTCAAGTATCATTCACTTATCCTGGCGATGCTGTGAATAAATAAATATAGTTTTGACATAACCTACCAATCAGAAAACAAAGTTTACATAAAATTTTAAAAAGTCAGAAAGTTTTCATACTCACAAGATCTTAAATCTTGAGTTTCAGCTTTCATCGTTTCTACAAAAAAGCTGCAATAAATTCATTAGAAATCTTGATGAAAAAAGGACCAGAAAAACCGAAAACTTGGGCATAAAAAGAAAAAACATCCAAGACATCAATGAAAAGCTCCAAAAAAATCGTACCTGAAAAAGAAAAATAACAGGTTTAATATCCAGAATGAAAGAAAGCTTAAAAATAAGGAAATTTTGGATATTATGAAATTATGCACATAACCGTAAAACTGTTGATAAACATAGACTGGTCGTGAAATGTCTCAATTTCTTAAAAAAATTGTTTTAAAGTTACAGCACCATGCATGTTTTCTCCTTTCTTTGTATTTTGTTTGTTTCTTCAATAAATAACTTGTTAATAAGGATAATTGGGATAAAGAGGGGGTAAATAGAGCCGAAAATGATCACCGGAAGGTATCTAGCAGAACTCACCGTTGTATCTTAGTCAAAAATCTGTCATCAATGTCCCTCACGAGGTGTCAATGTGTCATCTGCAAAATTCAAAGAATAATTTTTAAGATCTCTTGAAAATTTGAAAAGGCATAGGAGTTTATAACAAATTGTTTAAATACGAGCTATGATATTGCTCATATTAAAAACAATTTAATACACATTTAATTTTTTAATACACTTTAAAGTTAATTTATTAATATTCTCTTTAAACATGTTAATATCGTGATTGATTTATAAACACTTGATTAGCAAATGAACTATCTAAACATCATGTTTTTACATTCATATAGACATTAAGTATTATATTTCTGTATATATCTGTCATTAAAAATTTACAGTATAATAGTTTCTACATAAACCAACAAAAAATATGCAAATATAAGAAGAAAAATTCGACTTACTTGTGTTTGATTGTGAAGTTAGAAGTGATGTTCTTCAGAAACAACTGATCCATTTTACAACATAGCCAACCTTCTGAAAAAAGTTTAGCTTAGAAGCAAAACAATTATTTTCACTAAAAAAATTTCCAAATAAAAATGTTTCAAAAAATCTTTGAGATGAAAACGCCAAACCTGCAAAAAGAAAAATAGTGTCAGTTATGCAGAAAAATTACAGCCGAAACAAAGAACAGAATGCTTAGCAATAATTTTATCAAGACTTACCTTCGAAAGAGGTTCACTTGGTTGAAGTCTCCTTGCCCCATATCCATACGTTTTTAACCTCATCTAATAAAAACATTGAAATTTGAGAAGATTTATCAGATAAAGAGGCAAACAAGAATAATTACGCTAGATAAATGGAAAATTACACAAGTTTATGTAGTAAAATTTGACTTTCGTAGATCAAAAAGATAAATAAAGTAACGACGTTTTGAACGTAACCCTTCATTTCCTGAACGTCGTTAAAAATTTTAATTTTTAGATCTACAGAGTCAATCTTTTGCTACATTAATTTATATTCATTTTTCATTCGACTTACAATGTGCCAAACTATACTGATAGATAAAAGATATTGAGAAGAAACATTTTTAAGATTTTCATTAAATATTAATATAACAGCTTTCAGAAAAAAATATTGTATCTGTGTCAATTATATTTATTTTTGAAATACAGTTACCAAGGCTCATCGGTTAATACAGAAAACATTTATATACACAAAAATAAGTTGGAGAATTTTTTTTTGCTTTGAGAATAAAATAATGGAAGTTAAAGATTCTAATATCTATGCAATACCATTTTGTAGCTTTCTAGTCTAGGAAACACAAGGCTAAATTGCTAAAAGAATGCGTTAAACTACCTAAATTGGACTAGATTTGTAACTCACTTTTTAATAAGAGTATAACCATTAGTGAGCTCCATTTGATCGTTTTATTTTAAGCAGCTACAAAGGAATTGGAAAAGAAAATAAAGCATATTGATAAGAAATTTGAAGACAGTTTTAAAACAGAATATTTTTTGATCTAAAATTTTATTAATATTGTATATCATAAGCGATAATTTCTTCACATAATCGAACAGCCATTATTAAAATGATCTGAATTTTTTTAGGTGAGATAAAAGTTTTGTTTGGTGGATAATATGATGCCATTAGAAGGAACATGAAACATAACGTTGGAAATCAATACAAGGTTTGGCTATAATCTATTTTGTTCTCTATTCAGTTGCTTCACAGAATCAGTTTCTAGGTTTAAAGAATTCGTATGATATTTGAAAATAGAATGAGCTAAAATAAAGCTGAAAAAACTCACTGGGATTTTAAACTTTGAATTCCAAAAGCCATTCTTACAGAGGTCGAAAACTGAAAAAAAATATTTTGAGAAACAAGACGTCAATATTCAGATTAGTGAAAAAACTGAAAAATGATGGTAAAACTTCTTGAAGCAAAAACATGGTGATGTCATAAACCAAGCCTAGAAAAGAAAAAGTACGGTTAAAAGAGCCACAGGTAGCCTGGTAAATGATAAATGTTTCAAAAATGTAAATTTGCTATACAAGCTAGTAACCCGATTTGGCTAATGAGCAGTCATTAAGTCTGAAATACTCGTCTCAAAATGTCTGAGCCCCCACAAAGAAATAATGAAAGAATTATAGAGTAATTGACATAGTTTGCTACAAGATGAAATGCCAAAAATAAATTCAAATTTAAATTTGATACGATAAGACTGGAATATGATGAGATTCAATCTAAGGAAACTTCTTCATCATTTCATATCATTTTCAAATATTCTAAACTAGGCTTTGTAAAAACTAGGCTTTGTAAAAACTAGGTTAGTAAAACCAGATAAAAAATTTAGATAAATTAAAATAAAGTATATTTCCACAGAATGACATCAGTGGAAGCATTGTAAAGAGTTTTAGAGGCTTATATATATAACTTTGCTGATTGTTATGATTTTCATTAACGGCCAGAAATTCTTACGACCAACGTTTTTACGACCAAAAGCTAGAAAATTGTCTGTCTTAGCAGAGTAGAAAGATCGTTCAAAAAATTACAGTTATTACCATTTTGCGAACTTAGCAGAAAATCCAAAGTCACTTAGCAGAAAATGAAATTTGGAAGCTGCAGGTTTTGTCAAGCAATAAAGTATGCCAAAGATTTTTAACACTTTAAATCCCGAAGCTCTAAACCCATAAGGGTCCAAATAAATTAGAAAGTAAAGGAGGAAATAGCTAGCAAGCCTACTTATAACTCGATAATTCTATAAATTGGAAAAACATAAGTCTGAAGTTGATAATGGCTCTTTAGTATGGTTTTCATAAGAATAAAACTGGTTAAAAAAGGAAACGATCAAATGTTCTTATGCCAGTTGCCAATTAAAGGTATTTTAGTCTGCCAATTCAATATATTAATTGAGGTTTTCAAAATTCGTTTTTCGACAACATTAAAAATTATTTTTAGACGTTTGTAACCTCTTGGATCACTAGATTGTTTTGGAGCTGCAACCAACACCAGCCACAATCCCCACCATCCGCCACAATCTCCACCATCCGCCACCATCATCCGCCACCAACACCCACCATAAACAAACCTCCTGCCACCATCAGCATAAAGCCTGACAAACATACCTCTGCCAAATCCAAGTAACATCCAAAACACAATACCAACGAACCTTATCAATATCTGAAAACAAAACTAGTGATTCCAAGAGCTACAAAACGCGTTTTTTCAAAAGAACAGTTATAAATTTATAGTCTTTGACCGATAAGAAATCAACTTTTGATCGGAATTGCTGTTGTTGCGAAATAAAACATGGTTTCTGTAACTTATAGTCACGAAGATTTTTCAATTTATCTGCAGCACAAACGTTGAGTAGATAAAGCAATCATTTTTTAAACTCAAAGAAATATGGCATATAACCCTTCCTTTTTCTTTTTGCTCTCAAAAATGCATTTTCCAGTGAAAATGTTTTGCTAATTTTTCCAATTTCTGAGTATTTTCAAAGGTTTTCTTTAAAAACTGTGTTGATGACATTTTTTAATATAGTTCATTGACATCTTGTCAGCCATTAAAATTCTTTTCACAGTTTTGTCAGCCATTGAAATTTTAATTCATTAAATGGGGATTTCAGGATTGGTGTGCATTTTCTCAAATCCTTTAATGAAGCTTTTAAATATTTTTACTTAAAATGTTTTTATCGTGATCGAAAAAATAATATGAGTAGACTGATATTTGGAAAATTCAGAAAACACGATTCGTACTTTAAATATTTGATAAAAAATTAATAAAATCCTTAAAAATATGATTTTCAGAACAGAATCTTGCAGTAGAAAAAATCTTGTATATTGAAAACAGTTGAGGAAATTTTGTCTCATTGAAGAAACTATCAGTTGGAAAATTACTGCCAGTTGGAAAATTCAGATAACACGTTTGCTAAATAAATATGTTGTAAGAAGTGAATAGAACTCTTAAAATACTTTTTTAACAAAACCTTACTATTGAAATTGTTTTTGCCGAAATGTTCTAGTTCTGTAAATAAAATTCTACCACACCTAAAAAGCTACAATTTTCTTAATTATCAATATCATTTTTTGCGCTCTTATATTGTTTTGTTGTTAATACGTAAATATGTAAATACGTTAATAAGTTTATACGAGTATATTAATGACATGAATTTCTCTCAAAAAATGGACAAAAGTTTTCCCTTTAAAACAATACTTTTGAGAAAAATCTTGGTGAAAATTTTGAATTCCTTCATATTTATCTAGCATGTATTAATTCGTAGGTTGATAAATTGATCACTTTGGATTGATAAAACTTTTAATAAAACGAAAACTAATTTCCAGGCAGTTAAATGAAGTTGAACAATGATATCATCTTCTTGGTTGAATTTCGTTAAACGAATGTTGTTAAATCGATCCAAATCTTCAAAACATAATTGATAATAAATTTTTTGAAATATGTGATAAGAATGTAAATACCTGCTTTATATTCAAGGCCAAGAAGCCTGTGAATTTCACTGCAGCTTTGTCAACTGTTGTCTGCCATTATCGATATCTGAAAGAATGGCAAAAGCATGAATATTTTGTTCAAGATTAGGTTAAAATATCTAAGAACAAATTTAATTTGAATTGAGATAAAGTTTGAATAAAATCTCGGTTTCTAATGAGCTTGGGTGTTTGCCAAAAACAACAAATTTGGACAAATTAATGGTATAAAGAAATGCGTAATTAGGAAAATGTAGAAAATAAGGTTACACCTTTACCTAGTACCTCATATTCAATTGTATTTAGAGAAAAAGGTACACGTGGTATTTAGGCCCACGAAAACTGGCCTATCTGTTTCGAAAGTTGTAGATATTTAGACATTTTTAGAGCTCATAAATTTATGTCTTTGTCGCAAGGACGGAACAAAATAGTACAGTTGCTTATTGAAAGTGCTAATAGACAGCAGAATAAACTAAATACGGATTTTTACATACATGGTTTGCTTGAACCTTTAAAGCGTGGCAAGGGGGATCCTTTCTCTATCGAAGCCCAAGAAGCAAAGACCGAACAACCAGAGGATCATGGTTCAAATTCCCCATAATCACACGCCTTCTTGTCCTGGCACTAGTGTCCTGGGACACTGCCGCATTCGTCCTTTGGGACGTTACGTCTACAATGGCAGGCAAGCGGCTACTGAAGAAAAATCTTGCGACAATTCCTTTGGGTATTTGAATAAAACAAATAACATTAAACGTTAAGTATCTAAGTAAAATCAAAGAAATAATCACAACGTCTGACTTACTTTCATTTTTCATTTTTCCAAATGAAAAATAAAGATTCAAAGATTTTTCTAACCCTCTTCTTCTATCTGGGATCGTAGTTTCTAGATGCACTTTATCATTATCAAAAGTTTGCTCACTTCATTATAGTTTTCAACACCTTTGCTTCTTCATCACTTCAGAAGGAAAAACAGAACGAAATAGCATTTTTACTGGATATGTCAACTGTTGTAATAACTGAAAGATCATGACTCGGATTTTCAACGAACGATTTAAAAACATTAACTAGAGGAAGTTGGTTTATCGAATCTTGTGCAACAAATTTTTTATATTTTATGTAATTTCACCTTTAAAAATGCCCCCCTACCATTTCCTTGCAAAGTCAAACACCTTAGAATTGTGTTTATTAATTGTGTTAGCCCCAATCACTTTCAGTTGAGTCTGTGGCCCTGTATTTAGTTAAGACTGATAAAAAATTCTAACACCTGACAAAAAGTCGCAAGCTTTTTCCAGAGAGCAGTCCTCTTAATCGTTTCAAAAATAAAAATTCCCAATCTTTAATTTGGGGCTCTGGCCCCAAAACTACAAGTGAGGAACGTCAAGTAAGTATAGATACAATTCTTTTCTGAAACCCATACATTGTTCAACAATTTGTATTTCCGGTTGATTTTCCCGGAAACCCTTCCTTTCTCAAAGCGAGAATGCTTCCGGTTTTGACGCAAGGCTGGAAAGAAACTGTCAAGGAATAAAGGTTAACCACATCTCCAACTGATTCAACAATAAAGTTATTGTTTCATGGCCCTACGTCCATTTTCTTCACAACAGGATCTTTTTTAGAACTCCACATAATTTCATCGCATTCTACACCTTTCGCGTCAACAAACCAACCTTCGCCGTTAAATCTAGGTGAAGAAGACATAGGCGTAATTATCTTGAATGAACTGATGATTAAAAGCAACGATCATAATTGCAGGCGATATTTGTAGCTGCGAACAGAGAAATGGAGAGCGCTCAGGCCAAAATCCAAAGTCAAAATGGCTTTCTCGATTCTGATGATGATGAAGAGGATGGCATGTTTGATTTCCAAAGTGAGCATGATAAGAAAATTGGAGCACAGATATTGATGCTTTTGACTTGGATGTCTTTGGTAAGAAAACTTTTGTTGATATCACCCCCAATTGAATATACGCTAAGGCATTTTGCATGTAAGGATAAAATATGCCCTTTCACCCCATTTTGTATTTGAAGTAATTCAAGCATAACTGCTTATTTGCCAATGTTTCGAGAGTGAACGAATTCTTGAGGTTATAGGTTTAAAACTCCACTAAACACGACTGGTACACCATAGAATTCAACCCTCATTTGCACTCCCCTTTACATAATTCAACTAATCTTTCTTTTTTAAAACCATTTAGGGTGAAAATTAAAAACATATTCCTCGTATTTCTTACCATTCATTGTTATTCACTGGCACAACTAGAGGCGTGACATTGCACCATTTGGCCACTTAGTAACTCCATTTTACCACATCAGGTGTTGCAAAAGCTTGCCAGCTGAAGGTGTTTTAGCCCCAAATCAGGCACCCCCGAGCATTGACTTTACTGGTGGTTCATTTCTTAATATTTTGCTAAAGCCTCCACAGTCCTCACAGTTTTCAAAATATATTTTCTTCTGCACCATTACAAGCAGCTTGGATTACCACCCTAATATTTTTCCATTTGTATCTCCCAGGGCCTCATCTATGCCTTGCCAGGTCCAAATCTTTTGGCTATAGCATGCAAAGTAAATTCAACTTTGGAACATATTGGACTTCTGTTTATCAGTAGAGGAGTTGGCACCTTATGTGGAAAACTGGTGTCTGGCTTTATGATACATCACAATAAAGGATACGGAATAATGTCTATAGCTTTGGTAATACTACCAGTGATGACAGCAGTGTTCCCTTTAATAAAAAGCCTTGGTGGAGCTGCATGTGTGATGATAGTAATAGGAGTTGCATATGGATTGGCTGCAGAAGGTAAGGGTACTAATAGCTATCTTATACCAATGTATCAATAACAAGAATGCTTCAGAACAAGAATTTTGTGGTGCTAAGAGTAAAGACCAACAACGCTGCATGCATTTTGTATGAGTCCCACCCTTTCAAGAAGGGGAGGAACAATACAACAAACACTAAAATAAATAAAACTAATTACTCCAAATTTAGGAACAACAACTTGAAAGAAATGAGGTTATTTGAAAAACAATCTTAATACCCACCAGAAAAGCTTCAGGGAAGGAGAGAATGCTAATATTAGCAAAATATATGAAATGCTTATTTTTGTGAGGTGCCTAGGTGCTCCACATCCATGGGGACTTTTCTTGTCAAGATGACTTTGGTTCCATCATTACAGAAAATAACTGAAAGGAAATTGTTACACATATAATTTTTATCATTTTTTTTATTTGTTTGCAGGCTGTGCATATACAGCCCTTGCTATACAGAATCACACACCTTTCTAAATATATTTAAATATCTAAAATCAAACAGGCTCAAAATTCTTTAAAGTGTGCCTGAAAGCTTTTGCACTAACGACCTTTACTTGATTGAAAATCTATTGAAATATATTAAAATATTTGTCTTTTAGGCTACAATATAATGGATTATTCAAATGGATTAAAGAAACCTGGAGGTTTTAACAAAGCTACATTTGCACTTTCACTTGGAGCTGCAGTTGCACCACTGATATCGTCACCATTCTTAGGGGAGCTAAAAAACATAAATAGCCTGAACAAAACAAGGAGCTTGGCTATAAGCAATGACAAAGAAGGTCTAATAGTTTTCCCTGGGTTTGTCTGCTTAGAGAAAAGTGACTTTGGAAAGTCCTTTTGGATTAGTACAATCCCTTGCTGTTTGCTTATTTTTCAGATTTGTTATGTAATTTGCTCAAGTTCTAATAGAGAAATTGGAAGCCTCTCCGAAAATTCAAGAGGAAGCCGAACCATTAGCTGGAAGGTTTATGGTCTACGATTCATATTGTTTCTAGTCCTACTTTTGTATGGAGGGATTTACAGAATTGCTGAACTGGTGGTTTTCTCATACATCACTCTTGGGCCATTTGATATAAACACAACAAAAGCTTGTCTTCTTGTCATGATGCTCTGGGTGGCATTTGCTTTTGGACATATTCTTCAACATATAGTGCTAATCAAAATTGAGAGAGTAGAGAGACGTCTTGGCATCGCATTTTTAAAGTCATGTGTCTGCCTCATTATGTCCATACTTTTAATGAAAATTGACAATACAAATGGTTTGACGCTGAGTTTGTTTGTTTACATGTTTTTTGCATCTGAACTAAGTCCTCTGGTGCACGATGCTGTTTCAAGTTACGCAATGACATCAGAGGCAATGGTGAAAAAGTTGAATTTACTTGCAGATGCATTTGCAGAGATGCTTTTTCCAATTGCATCTCTGGCCTTGATGTACCACAAAGGTTGGCATGCACTCTCCTTCACAATCATGGTTATAAGTGTCCTGCAATTTCTGCTTTGTTCTTTTTTGGCACTTTACCCATTCAGTGAGAATCGAGAAATTTCTTCACTTCAGTATGAAAATCTGGCAGGCTCAATAGAGGATGGGAATGGAAAGAAAATCAGAAAAGAAATTCGAAAGTTACTTGGTGGTTATACTGATCAGGAAGTCAGTTATGTCACAAGTGATGAAGAAGTAGTCTTTGACTTGAGAGGACGATCAAAAGTGAAATGAACCAAGTACCATAAAATTCAGAATAAAGATTGGTTTAAAATTTAACACTTAAGGTGAAATAATAAAACACACTGCTGAACAGACAAGTGATTACAATAATCAAGGGGTTGGAAAATATTTGAAAATATGGTGGAATTATGTAGAACTGAAGGGATAGAAAACATTTTGAAAACAAACATCAAAATATTTGATTACTCCGGGGGCTCAAAATAACTAGGAATTTTACAAAAAACGATTGTAACTCATTTTTCCAATAAAACATTTTGTGTTCTGAATGATTACTTCATTTTAATATGGAAAGAGAAAAGTATTATAGTATTTCAACAAGTGCCAACCGGCTCTTTTTGCATAAGCTCATTTACATTAATTCTTGTTTTTAAGTTAACAAAGACAGTCAAATTGCTTGAATTGACAGGGATTTATTTCAACAAAACATTTTTCATGACCTTGTAATGGAAACATCCTAAAATTAACAGTTTATCCAAAAATCTTTAGATTTAGACAAATTATATACTTTATTCAGTGTACTATAAAGGAGCAATTTTCGTTACATCATCTTTTTTAAATCGCTTTTCAACAAATGTAGCCCAGATAATGTAACAAAATTTGCTTGTTTATAGTAAACTGAAATCTAGCTATTAATAGTTCCATATATGTACTCCAGTTTTGTTCTTGAGGTTATCTTTATTTTCAGATAAATTCCCCTTTTCAGAAAGGAGGCATTTAAAAAAGGGGGCATTTTTATGCATTTCAAAATTATCGAAGGGTGAAGAAGGGGGCATTTAATGGACATTATGTTATGAACCTTTTCTTATGTTAATGAATTAAATTCAATGGTAACAAAAGATCATTAGTCTTTGTGTTTAAAAAGATTATTTGGATAAATTCAGTAGATAGTAAAGACATATTTCCAATGAATATTGCTCTTTTCAATCCAGTGAATTAGATTCTCTGGTTTCTAGAGACAACAGTGCAGCAATATCACCCCTTCCCTCCTTGCCCTCCACCCAATGCAATCCTACCTGTTTGCCAGACTGAGGTAAAGAAAGGTTAATTATTGTAATACAGTAAAGGTATTCAAATATAGGAAAGAAATCAACCTTTTTAAGACACTTCAAGACAGACTGACAGAGAATTAAAATTTCTTTGTCACTGAATTGCTTAAAAACAATCAAAATAACACAACTGCCAAGAACAGACTAACAAGCTGAACAATTATCGACAGGTTTTTTAAAAAGTGTAGTTGGGTTGGCATACCCTACATCCCTCACTCTGGCATGCCATTTGCTGCAATTGACATTTTCTCTGTTTCCTTACAAATTAAAATATATTCACCATTCAGTGCAAGACCAAGTAGAGGAAAGTCTTTTCATACCTTATTTTTCTTGAACAATATTCCTATTCTTGCCATATTGGCAAGCCTAGATCAAATACATTACATCTTTATGTACATGAAAAAACCACGAATTAAAATACACCATATGTTCATCCCCTTGACCGATTAAAGTCTCTTCTTTGTTGATACAAGGCCTCTGGCTGTTGGAAACTCTGACTGATCTTCACTGGAGATAGGTTTTGGGGTCTTCATTTCCATACGACCACCGCTAAAATTGAGGGAAAACCTTAGAAAATCATGAAGATTTTGAAAAACATCAGGACATACAATGGAATAATTTGTTAACTTATAAGAAATAACATAATTACTCATAATATAAAATCATATTTGATGAATAAACTCTTCCCCTCATTTACTAAAAATAGACATAGGACTTCGATTCATAACTCATTATTATCACCTCGTTCTAAAAAATTCTGCCCAAGAAAATACTTAAAACCTGAAGTGTATTCTCTCTGATGTATGAAAACCTACCACAGGACACTCAATCTAAGCGAACAGTAAGAAAACCACAGAGAATTGCTGGAATTTAAATTTAACATCAAGATATAACCTGATAAATTTCTCGATTTTGTTTAAACCTTTCACTAAAGAAGTTCCATTACATAGCCTATGAATTCATATCAACAGAAATTCATGTCTCTGTAAAGTTATGATATGTAAGCAATGACTGGCTTTTATTTATCAGTTGCAAAAGCCAGCTACACATACCCGACTTTGGCTGTTTTTGGACGCTGCCCACGCCTGCCTTTGACTTTTATCTTTGTATTGAACGCATTCAAAGCACTGTGTAATAAAAATATATTGAGACTATTACATAAAATTCACAACCTTGCAAATAGGATGTCCAGTTAACACTAAACTCTTGAAACAAAACAGCCTTGCGAGCTTATGGGTGCAAAAGTTCTCCATTGTAGAAAGAATTGTCTTTCACGCCACCTGACCCTTTGAGCAAACGAGAGGACAGCGACTAGTTGCAAGAAAGTCAATCAAGTCCATAAGGTGCTCCTCCTTTCTTTTAGGCAAGTCAAGCTTCTAAGTGTGTTTAAGGTAAAAATTTACTTCAGTGCATGCCAAGAAAGCGTTTCTGTTTTTTCAGTGCAAACTCTACGGTTGAAAAATTCCCACTTACCTAGCATCAAGCGTGAGGTCGTCTTCACCACGCAAGGCAGACTCAAGAACTGCTTGAAGAGTTGGGTTCACAGATGGGCCTTCGTAGTCACGAGTGGTTCGATTAGGCATATCTAGCTCTATCTGAATGATGTTCTCTGCCTAAAAAATAATTGAAAAATGATAATTATACTAGTAATTATACAAGCAACATGGAAATACTGGAACAGACAGCTGTTAAACAAAGACAAGGATTCAGGATATAGAACTAACGACAGGAAATTAATTTCAAATTCATTTATTTTATCAAAACTGGCGGAGCTAACCCAGTCAAGTCACGAAATGCGGTCACAATTTGAGATAAAAAAAATCTTCGTCTACCAGGCCTAAATTGGAGCTTAGCCAAACAAAACAAGGGTAATTTACCTTGTAACGTGGATTTCCACCCAAAGCTGCAGCTCTTCTTGCGTATTCTGAGATTGGTCTCTTGTTTCCCATTGCTGATACGGGTCGTTTTGCCATCTGCTGGCTCCTGGGATGAAAGTATTACAGACACCAATTACAATACAAAGATTTCGACAGGCAAAAATATGGGGCCAAAACATTGCATCATTTGCATGAGAAGCTTGGGCCAAAAGTATGTTCCACAAGCCAAGAAGTGTCTACCAATTCAAGTTTTCTATTCCAATGCATCTTTTTCATTTTCTATTCCTTATCGTGTGGAAAGGACATTCGAAATCAGACATAAAATTCAGAAACTTACAATTCTGAATGTTGTAGCAAATAATCAGTTTTTTGAAGGAAACCCGCACAGTAGGACCCATTACTATAGCAAACTGGCAAAAAGCATCGAAACAGCGTTACAGCGGCCATTAAAAGAAACTGGAAACCATGCACATCACATGTTCCAAAATTGACCCAGCACATACTGGAAAATCAGGGTTGCCAGAGGTTTATGTTTTACGAACTCGTTCTTTTTAATTCAAAAATCAAATTAGATTAAATTAAATTAGAACTAAACAAATTTTAAAGAGTATGAAAATAGACATATATTGTGACTTCAAAATTTTCTAATGACTCGAAGAACGAAATTTTTTTTCAAAAAATAGCAAAAACAAATTTCTAACTGTACTATTGCAATAAATACCAGGCATAGGAATCACGAAATGAGGTCATATCGATGGAAAGGGCCATGACACTGCTCGATAGGCATAGCTCTTCGGTGTCCTCAAACCAAAGCAAAGATATAGGAAATACAAATAGCGCTGGAGTTTTTATAATAAACATACGATGTTACTGTAGCTAATGTCCTCAGGCTCCATTCACCAGTATCATCATTATAACTCCCTCTATTGCGAACCTTGTTTCTTTCGTCCAAAGGTACAAAGTTTTCTATAAGGAGTTGTCTGGAAAAAATTAAGAGAAGGAAATAATCAGTGCAGCAAGACTCACACAAGCAGAGGGTTCGTAAATGTTTTAATTAGTGTTAAACGTTGAGTAAAACCTTTTTGTTTCTGTTGTTGTTTATGAGTCAAACAGAGGAAATTAAGTTTTTGATTTTCAAAATTATAAACAGAGCCAAAATTTGATATTGGAATCTTATGGGGGAACTTTAGTGAAAATATGTGGGGGAAAATATGTTTACGAATAAAGCAAAAGAAAAGGGGGAGTCAAAAAAAATACACAAAAAAAATATAATTTGTCATGATAACGCTTCTAATCTGGCAGCAAAATAGCATTGAATAACTCACTTTAGTTTCAATTCACGGTTAAGATCTTCTAAATTCTTTTCCAAGTCTTGGCGTTCTTTGATATGAACTTCTTGTAAGTCCTGTATTTCGGCCTTGGTTGCTTGCAGCTTCACAAAGAGCTACGAAAAGCCAAGAAACATCAATCATATTTTGGTAAGCACAAATAATTATCGAAGAGTCAATCAAATTCTGTTTAACAGATAAAGAATTCAACATATCTTTCTCTGACAAGCAACGAAATTCTAGAAATACTACCTAAAATACAGACTATAAACGGGATTATAAATGTAATTATTAAAAATACAGTAACTCCTATAATAAAGGGTATTTCAATATATTTCTAAAATTGCATAGACAAATATAGAAAAACCATACAAAGGTTTCATATGACTTCGTCTATTTGCTAGGATAGCATCTGCCTACTTTCTGGATTTGGATGCAGTTTTAAATTCAGTGTAAAAAATATAGTTAGTCGTATCTGTTGATGAAAATTACGGTTCTACCAGGCTGTCGTAGTGCTATATGCAGTAAAGGCAGAGCTGTGTATGTTTTGGTGAACAAAATGGCCTGATAAAAAATGCTGCTTGATGATCGCATTAAGCTTAACTTGGAGTTGCATCTTAGAACCACCAAAGCATAGTTTCATCGGTTAAATACCTTTTTGAGTTTTTTGGTTTTCACATCAACTTCTTGTTGCAGTGATGAAAAGTTTTCCTTAATTTCAACAGCAGACTCGTCTTGTTCCTCTAGTTTTTGCTGCATTTCTCGTTCTTTTCTCTACAAAACGAACACATTTTAATCAAGATGACATAAACACAACAAAGGAACAAATACAAATTATTGTGGCCTTAAGCCCAGAATGATACAAAAATCTTAACGCACTTTAAATAGGACATAACATAGCATAAAGCAATAAAATTCATGGTTGTAATATTGTTAGGTATCAAGGAGTTATTAGCCACTAGGTAATATTTTTGAACATTACTGTTTAATAGTGGTCAATAAAATATTCTTAATTATTTACAACAGAGAAATGGAAGAACAGTTGGAGATTGTAGCTTTCATTTTTATGCTTAAAGCATTAAACCACTGAAAAATAATCTATAAACATATATTTTGAAGCTCTATAAATACATCTGTGTTGTAAAATGATATTATCAACAGCATATAAAATTTGTTGACGCAATCATGAAGCTAACTACAATCTTCATGCGATTCAAAATAGCAATGTCTTAAAGCCATGCAGCTGCTGGTATAGGCTGCTAGATAATCCATTATCACTTTTAAGTGACAAGCCAATTCATTTTATTATCTAACTAACCCTGTGAACATGTATATAAATACATTAGAGGTACGAGGATACATGAGAGGGAACAGGACCATCACATCTTCTGAAGATTGGTTTTATTTCAAAATTTTCAGCACAAAACATCTATAACTTTGCCTAAGCCTCCCTTGACCTATTTAGCAAAACATCCGGGACCTCTACAGTTAATTTGGTAGAGTGAGCGCACAGTCTGTCTTAGGCTCTAACGTCCAACCACGATGAGAGATAGAGAACCTTTTGTTTGGTCATACCTTTTGTTCCGCAAGTTGCTTACGCCTTTCTTCAAGCGCTCTCTCCTGCTCCGTTGTCTTATCAACAATACTTTTTCCACCAACAAGCAACTTACTCTCCATTGCCTTAAACAATAACAATTATAAGCTTCCCAGTGTAGATAATGAAAAAACAAGCAAATGTTTGAATTTAACGTGAATATAAATCCTTCAAATGTTGAAAAATCTTGTATCGTTAATAAGCTAAAAAGATAAAAAGAGAGCCCGTAAAACTTCAATTGAAGGGGGCATAATATTTTGTTCAAGTTATTGACTAAGATAACAATGTTTCATTACATGATAAATGAGTGTTCCATTATATAACAAACAAATATATATTCTTGTAAAAAGTTGAAAGTTTCGTACCTTGATTTTTGTTGTAATTAATGCAGATCTTTCTTGTTCTTTTTTCAGCTGGTTCGCTCGATTATTGATTTCACTAAGCAGTTTCTTTTTATCCTAAATAAACATATGAGGCAATGAAATATTTTGAAAACTGAAAACTTAACATGTTACACAAAACGCTTCAGAACGTTGATTACATAAAAGAGAATATTGCCCCCTCCCCTATGCATTAAAACACTATTAAATGATGGTCTTTTTATAGCAAAAAAGTATACGACTAGATTCTCTAATATTGGCACTCAGGGTTAGCCAATGGCGTGATAAAAGTACAAAATTTCAACAAATCTACAATTTTTAACAACGAAACATACGAAGTAATGATAAATATAAATGTTGTTAAGAAAACAAATTAGAAATGAGGATGAAACGCTATGACAGGGAGGGATAAACAATTTCATAGGAGGTGAAAAAGTTTCAGAGCAAGAGCACACTCAAACCCCAAATCTGGGTATGAATTCCCAAATCTTTTGACAAGTATAGTGTACATTTCACGTTTCTATTTATTTTGATTAAAGAATCACTAAAAGACTCTGAAGATTTCTGTCATCTGAAGACTTCCTTCATCTAAAATGTTCCTTCAACTGCCCTTACCTCCTCTAAAATTCCATGATTTTCTAGCAACGCATTTTTCTCTTTTTCAAGTTCTTCTTGTTTTTTCTTTATTACATCTTCGTTGTTATTTTCCGCTTCATCTTCAACTTCGTCATCATCATCCTCTCCTATAAGATAATAAATACTGAAATAAAATGGCAAAGAAATAAGTAACTATTTTAAATTTGACTCCACAGGAAACCCAAGGAAATAACTTCAACAGAGCTACACATGGCAGTGTTTTTCTTCTCACTAGGTCCCTAATTTGATTTAATTAGCTCTAAGTTTGATGTTACATTTGACGTAACTTTTCTCCATCTATGAAATATTTAAGCTAGTAACAAATTCACTATTATAAGCAACAACTTCTTCAGTTGCAAGTGTGGCAAATTTTATTTCCACAGAGATCAACTTTCCAACCAAATAATTCGACTCTAGAAAAATTGAGCACTAGGGAAAATAGACCAAAAAGCATTATCAAACATTTTCTATTGAACACCTCAAAAAAAACTTTACATCTAGGAAACTTTACACATGACATTATTGTTATTCTCTACCTGCAATAGCTTTCAAAATCCTACCTTGTTCTCCATCTTTCCTTCGTCTTCTTCGACCTTTTTTTGGGCCACCTTTCTTCTCTAGCTCTCTCTTCAACCTGAGCACAAAGGAATATTCAAAGTTACTTACGAATAACAAACCTGAAAAAGGAAATTTTTTGAAATAACAGAACAGCTTCTCCAAGCCTGTAGAAGTTGCCTGCAGAAGTAAAGAAGATTGTGATGCTCATCTATAGAATCAACTCTTTTCACATTTTATATTTCATTATTTATGTCAGCCATATTATTCCAGATCATTACTTAGTAGAGGAGCCATGTCAAACATTTACAATATCATTTTTGAAAAGACATTGACCGATTTTATTTTAAGGCCATTTACTTCACCTTCTGTACAATTCCATAGAATTACAAGAAAATTTCCCAAGATCTTGATAAAATATATAGATTCGTAAATCCTTTTCTTTGTTAAAGTTGGTGTGTTTTGATTTTTGACCATTTATCATTAAAATATTTTTCATTTTTCATTGACCATTATTCAAAGTCACCAAGGGTTGCTTTGGCAATAGAAAGGTTACAAACCATCGACAATTTAACTTCGACTAAGCATGTGTATACATACCATTCTATAAGACAGATAAGCAAATTATATTGACTTACTTATGCAGAGTACAACTTGGTTTATAATCATAATGTGAATTGTCTTGTCTCCAAACTATAGCTTTCTTGAAAATTTTCAAAATTCCTTACAATCCCCTCTAAATTTTCGATTCCTTGAAAATTCCTTTAGATATTTTGAAATAAACTTGAGTAGCCTCGCCTGGTATTGAACAAAAGATCACCATTTCTCATTTCTACAGAATCTACAACAAACAGAAGATCTAGATACGTTGAAATCTGCTTCAAACTATCATTGACCGAGCAGAATAGTCATTACTAATGTATACATCACATAAATGCTTAAAAACAGCCATGAAATGCTTACTTTGCGATCTCCTCTTGAAATTCTCTTAGAAGGGCGTCCTTTGGATCCTCATTGATCTTGGGCTTATTCTTGATTCTTTTCGCCCTGTCAGCATATCTGAAGAATACAAATTCAAGACACATTGCATTACACTGTATCAGGGTGTGGCCTAGCCTCAAAATAGTTGGTTGGCTACCAAGTGGATGACGAAGATCCGGGATTTGACAGAAAAAACTTGCCCAACACTCACAAAAGTGAACACTGTGGCAACGTTTAATTGATATCAAATTAATATTTGATCGACATGGTACAGCTTTCTACCGCTTGAAATTGTATATTTCACACTTTGTTTGTATCAGCCATGGATTTTGGTTGTCCTCTTAATTTTCATTACTATCTCCACATTGAACGCATTCCCAGATCATTTTCTCTAACTCATAAACAAAGTCCCTAATTGTTTTTTAACTTCGAATATTGTCACTTGAACAGCCAGACCAGCAAGCGCATACACTGTCTATTGCATTCGGACACAGTTGAGCACCCTAAAGAGCGTATAATATCTACTCATAGTACCTCAATGTTGTTAAAGATTCTTCAAAATTGTAACTTGCAGGACCCTGTTAAAGAATAGAGATGAAGAATTAAGAGTCAGTCCACCTATAAGATACATTCAAACTACTTTTTCTACAGCAGTCGATCGACACATTGACTGCATAGCTGAGAGACGTTCTATCGCTATGACCGTATTGCTTTGAATAAATACAAGCATAAGACTATAGTGGGAAGTCTTCATTTGGTAAAACTTTAACGAAAAAAGTTTGTTTATCGCTAGTTAAAATAAGTCCTAAAAATCGCAAACTACTTTTAGAGACTTACTGTGCGTTTTCTGCAACATATCGTGACCTAAGTTGTGGACTAAAATTATTTCACTATAGGTACATACTTAATCGAGTAGAATTAAGAGGGGTGGCTGTAAACTAGAAATAGAAGGGAACACACTCTGGGATACGGGCACAATTTCGTTTAACACTGGGTATAATCTATAGATCGAGATACAAAAGTGCACCATACGTGTTTGTGATACAATTTACTGACTTTTTAAAAGGAAGCACATATGTAATCCCGTGATATAGGCATCCTTGGACCGTTTAAAGTGGAGACACACTCACCATGTTTGCAACCATAACAGTCCTTGCATTACCACCAAGTGAATCTAGACGTTTAAAGATAATCATGCTCAGGTTCTATACAGAGCAATGAAGCAATGACTGCAAACTTTGGGGCTTGAAATTCCATTTGAATGCTCTTACAATTTTTGCCATGAGAAAAGATGAAATTACCCCCCTCCCCTCTGAAAATTGTCAAAGATTGCTAACATCTAAGTATGCAATAAAACTGCACAATTTACTTAACAGAAGGAGAAGAACTTAAGAAGTCAATGGCAAGCTAGCTGTCTTTCATCTATTAAACATTCTGTCATGAACTGGGTTTGGTTCCTAAGCACCTCATAATGCCAGGCATCACCGACGTATTCCATCATCAAAATAAACCAATCAGATAAGAGTCTAATGAAACAACCGGGTATTTCCAAAAACATCCTGAAAAACATCTGTCTCTGTCAGGTTACTCTAAATTTTTGTTATTTCAGGGTTTGTTTTAATAAGCCTTTTGGCCAAAGCAAAACAAAATGACATAAGAAAGTGGAAACAAAACCAATCAAGTACATTACTACGACTTAAACTTAAGTATTATGCATTACGTGTTATGCAATCAGTCAAAATGTTAAAATCCTTAAAGATCCTGAAATACCTTGGAGAAGACGGGTTAACTTTGAATCTCTGTAAGGAACGTGTGTGCTTTTACCATCGACCTTAAAAATAAACAGACATGCAAATCATTCTTCAAGAAATAGGGATTTCGTATAATCTTCATAAGACTTCATAAGAAATAGGGATAAGACTTCATATTGATAATGTACATAAAGAACTTAATATATCAATGACATTAACTCTATTGCATGGCTCAGTTGTTAGGGGCGCTGACTACACACCCAAGGGTCCGTGGTTCGAGTCCCTGACATGACCAAACTTTCACCCAGAGTAGGGAGAGTCGCCAGCTCTCTGTAATTCCAGGCATAGGAATCATGAGGTGTGGTCACATCGAGAGGAAGGACCAGGACACTGCTTGATAAGCATAAGCTTCTCAGTGTCCTAAAACTATCTTTGGATGCTAGGTAGCAACAACATAAAAAATACAAATCTATACTTTGAAAGCAGATATCAAGAGCAGGTGAAAAATGTGACGTAAGGGATTCGTCTGCATAAATGTTTAGTTTCTATTTTGCATCTAGATTGATAGATACTAAAATCTATGCATAAAGTATCATCTTTCAAAATTGATGTCTTCCTTCAAAAAAATTGACTTTCTAAGGAATACGAGTATTACTTGTTTGTTTTAGCTAAGGTACAAATTGAAAATACAAAGGTTACAAACCAAAGCAGAAATGACGTTTCCCAGAGCAGACAAGGAGAGGTTGATCTTGGTCGCTTCCTTGAGTCTCTCACCCTGTATTTTAATAAACGGGATATTTGAGCAAAGTCCTGGTTTCGAAAAAACTAAACAAGATGAATTACGTTTTAATATTGTAACATGAGATCGAATAAACTATACAGGTAGTTTTGTGACGTAGGTAATAAGAAACAAAAATAAGAGTTCGTTTTCAGCTAGGGGCGTGATAGCTTGCTTTGAAATAAAACTTGCTTAAAGAATTCTAGGGTACTGTTACTCCCAGTCAGCAATAAATTCTAGGACTGAAAGCTCTAGTTATAATTTTTTGTATTATTTCTATAAGAGATTGTTATAGGGAATGCATTAAAAGTTGCAAATGAGAATGAAACTCACGGCAGCCCCCGTTTTTGCTTGTCTTTCACTACCAGCAAGATCCACCATATTCAACTTTCCAACTCGAATGTGCGTCTCTTCATCTGGACCCATCTATAAACAAATTCACAAAGTTTTATCCTTCATCAGCACTAGTGCTTGTTTTCAAAACGAAATTTTTAATAAAATAACGAATTCTCTCAACAAAGTAGAAAGAAATAAGTTTATAGATAAAAAAGAGAGAATTCTAAAAACAAATGGATGGCATATTTTGCACAATTGATTGGTTGATTTTGTATAGGTCTTCACACTTCAAGGGATCATTTGCAATTGATGACGTCATAACTCAGACCCATACCTCGCTGCATTCAATGTAGATAAGAAAAATTGCATGGGATCTTGAGGAATGCTCGTTCATATTTGTAGCCCTAAAACATTAACATGATGATCATAAAACAGGCAAAATTCAAGACTTGATTCTGACAAGGAATGATTCAAAATGCGGATCTATTGAAGATTTCAAGGAATGATTCAAAATGCGGACCTGAAGCTCTACAACAAACAATTTAAGGGAAAACGTGAAAATTCTCTGATTATATTTCTTTAACAATCATTATATTTTCATCTATGTTTAACATTAAAAGAGTCTTTGTATTATAGTTCCCTTAAAACGCTCATTGCTATGATGAAAATATCAAAAACAGTGTTTGACAACACTGACATATCTAACATATAGGCTCCATACCTTATTAATTGCAGATATAAGGTTCGAAAGTCATATTTACCCAACAGATCTGTTTTGATTTCCAACATTCATCACGTGCTCAATTTCCTTGACACTTTTTGTAACAAATGATTGTAAATCCTATAAGATGGAAATATATCTTTATCAAAACTTGGTGTCTTCTGTTTTTGACAAACAACCTTAAAAATTGGTAGACAGGTGAGGGTGGATTAAATTCTATTCTGAAAGGAAAATATGCAATGCCAAGAGGTACGGGATTAAATCAATGGATTAGACGTTGAAAAAATAAAAAGAATTGTAGAGAAAAGAGCAGATGTAAAAGAAAGGCTGATGATAAAAAAACGAAGAAGGAAAATGGGAAATAAACACAAGTTGGAAAAGGGGAAAACGAAGAGCGCACATAGTGAAACAATTTTGTTTTTTTATTGAAGCAGGCTCAGAATTTGCTCATCTCATCGTAAAATCGCACCATACCTTACAAGTTCTGAGCTACAGGTGCCAAAAAAAGTGTATTTGTGCCAAAAAATGATAAAAATGCATTTTCAATTTCAATCTATATTTCAATCAAGACTGGAATGTTTCTCGAAAAACCTCCAAAGGAAAATCAAAATGATCTTGCAATACCTTGACATATATTCCAGTATCCGGTCGCTCTTTTAATTCCAGACGTTTCTTCTGGTCCTTTGCTAATAAATCTCTTATTTCTTCCTAAAAAATAAACCACAAGAAGAACAGTGTTAGTGGAGGACACGAAATTTCTAAGGTTGAAATACTATGCATGGAGAATCGAGAACGGATTCTTGTGATATTCTAAAACTTTACTTTACCAAACTTTACCAAATTTGATTAGATTCATGTTCTTCGGTGACAATTTAGAGCCCTTTATTAGTGTATATGAAATTTCAGTTTCTAATTTCCACGTATGTTCGTTCTTAGCTGTAATTACTTTTTCTTACTAGCCGTAATAGCCCAAGAAACAACATGCAAGAAGGCAATGTGACTGGCTAAACACTCATGCGCCCAGTAGAAGGTATCGGACTGCCTTGGTTAACGCACCACACGAAACATTGTATTATAAGTAATAAAGAATCAAGCAAATGAACCCATTTTAAGCCTTTTCAGGTTTCCCACTCAACCAAGGGAAATATGTACAATTTAATACTCATCTATGTGGTTTCGAGAGATCCATATTACCCACTGCAAAAAGTTCACGTCAAACTGAAATATAGCGTAGGTCTCAGTCCAAATTCTCTACTCAAATCTTTTACAAGTGCATGACCAAATGATATTTTACCTGATAAATTTCCAAATATGATGCTCTGACTAAGTATTGCTGGTCATGAGTTCGAGAAATATGCGTAAAAATGTGATCGAAAGAGTTTGGGATAACGCCACGAAGCTCTGGGTCTGTTCGGACGCCTAAAAACAAAAAATCACAAAATACAGAAACTGAAAACTTACCTACCCGAAAAGCTTGGCTACTTTCTAAACCGTTTTTAAAATCAAGCCTTAGAGTTATGAAGTGGGAGAACTGATAAAATGGAAAACTATATTAGACTCAAGTTATTTTCACGTCGAACGTTCTCTAAAAGTTGTAACTAGGCCGAAATGAATCGTTTTGTGTGTCTGGGTTAAAATTTCACGCAGCTGTAGCTGCAAGTTTAAGCAGAGTGAGCATACATGCAGGCTGGCCGCTATATGGAGGCATGTGGGGTGTGACACTTCCCTTGAAAAAAATTTCATTGCGAAAACGATGATCTTTTTGCCATCTAGGGGTGCTTAGTCGGCAAACTTTCAAATTTGTCGGCAAATAAAGGATGGCTCACCCACTTGGTTGGCAAATCGGACTTGGAAACCCCCTTGCACTATAGCTAGCGACATGCATACATTCACGGTGTCAACGATAAGAAATTTGTTTTTACTTTGCATTGTTGCCAAATCATGTTAATTTTATGGTTCAAAATGCCATGCGTTGTTCTGTCACTAGAAGATAGCCAATTATACTTGAGTGTTAGTTTTGAAGGACGTCAGCTGAACCAGTTAATAAGTACTGTGCTTGCTCGATTAACCGGCGTAGAGGAGTCCAAAAACCAGACGAATATTCCTCAGAAATCGAATATTCCTTGCATAAAACTGATAGCTATCAGTAATATTCGTTTTCAAACCAAGAGGCATACTGTCATCTCTCTCTGAACTTAATAACATTAGTTTTTTATCACCTAGGAATCTACAATTCACAATAAAGGGGCCAGAATAAAAAGTTTGTCTAGAAGTCCTTCTCCAGTGGCACTCAAATTTTTTCAAGGATTTTGATGAATTAGAAACCCTGATTCCAACTTTCCTTTAAAGGATTAAAAATCTAGTCTGTTATTTAATTAACTACGAAAAAAAAATACAAAAAAGCTTGAATAAAACGTTTTCTAACAACATAAAAATCGTCATTCCAAAATCATGAAATGTGCAAGCTACCTTCCATGGTGAATGTTTTTCCTGTTCCAGTTTGTCCATACGCAAAAATTGTACCTAAAAAGATCGCTATGTTAGCAACGTATTTGTAGTAAAATGTTTGCTTTTTTAAAAGCCATTTTCAACTTCTGTACCACCAAAAAAGTACATTTTATATCAAAATATGACATGGACAAAATAGGATTGTGTATTAGCTGAGTACAGCTGGTATGATTTTGCCTTTTCAAGGCTACTGCAGAAAAGACAGAATTTTACTTAGACCTTAAAGCCTAAAATAGCCCCAAAATGGTCAGAATAAAATTGATTTTCATTGACAGAAAAACAATAACTTTTGAAAATTTACCTTGGTGGAAACCCGAGGTTATGTCATAATCTTATTTTTGAGAAATAACATTTGCAAAATAAACAGCATGGAAAAATCAATAATAAAAAAATTGTTTCCATTTTCATTAACCATTCTTCAGTTCAGGGGCAAATTTGAGATTGATACCATTTGATCCTAAAACTGCATTCAACAATGGCATCATTTACAAACAGCTGGCAAAATTCACTACGACTTCCAGCTTGAAAGACAAAAACATGACACTTACCAGATGTGTTGCAAATGCAAAATTGTTGATTGTGAATCAGTGTACATTACAAATAATCAAGGAATGTTGACAATGCAGAGATTTGGTCATCTTGCTTTCTGATATATACATATCTAGCCTTAATTTGGAAGCTTTCTAAAAAATAACAGAACTACTGTGTGATAAGATTCCTTGGTTTTGAAATTTTGAAAGCTAAACTTTAAAATGCATAGAAAATGGGTGACCAGAGGTACAAAAACACTCACCATTGTAGCCATTCAGCACAGAGTCAACAAGTGGTGAAAATGTTTCATCATATATATCTCTTTGTTTTGAGCTGAAACAGCATATTCAAAAAGAATAAAATATGGTAATGATGCAGAACTTATACATTAAATTTTATACACTAACAAAATTTGATACAAAAAGAATTTAAATAATTTTTTGGCGGTATATAACTTGAAAAGGGCTTTGAAAAAAACAAACATTCTACAACATATTAACTAAAAGCTTTTTCGTCTGAAACTCCTCAGAGCAAAAAACGTCAGAATGAAGGTCCAAAATAACACGATGAAAAATATATACCCACTTGTGGATCAAAATAGGCCAATCAGGAAAACGCAAGACTGGTATAGTTGACCAAACTGCCCTCAAAGAGAATAGCCTTCTCAATCTTGTAGGTCTAGAAACACTGTTAAAACAAGTGATTCTGCCATCGGTCAACATCTTTTAGACAACCCAGATTGTGCTAAACTCTATAATGGATAATTGGCAGAGCCTGGTCGTCTTTCTGTCTAGCAGTTTTGGAATTGATCTACATACAAACAAAAAAACCGCCATTGTGTAGGCAGAAGAAGTTTGTTTTCTCTCTTGGACTCCAGTGGTAATTTTTCTATAGGCTCGCAGCACTGATTGGTCAACTATACCAGTCTTGTACTTGCGTTTTCTTGATTGGCCTATTTCAATCCAAAACAGGGTATGGTCAGTGGGGGGAAAAAATGCGCATTTTTGAGAAATTTTCGGTTTCCCCCTGATTGTTCACACATATTGGAAAAAATTATGTATAGTTACAAAGTAGCCCTGATAAGTTCCTTTAGCAACAAAAAATTGCTACCCTTTCTTTAAGAGATTATTTTTTAAGAATGAAAAACTGGTGCGCATTTTTTAACCACAAAAAGGAGAAAAAATGCGCACATGTGGCAAAAAACTGCGCACCTCTCAATTACGGAAGAATGTTGATTTGATTCAATAAATTTGTTGATATTTGCTGTAAATAACTTTTTTAAATCAAGATTGTCTTTGCAGCTTTCCTGATGCTTAAAACGCCCCTTGAAACTTCTAGCAAAGCGTTCTCCATATGGCTCTCTTGCCAAGATTTTGCTTTTTTTACATACGTCCTCAGCATTTTGCTTTCAATCTATGCAATGCGACTTAATTTGTAGTCTTCTAAAATAAACTGATCTTGTCTTCAGTGGAAAAGCTTTTATAGCCATCAAGAGACACGCAACACATAAAATGGCCCATAAATAGCATCTATTGTAATTCACTTATTGCTGTTTCAGCAAGGTAAAATTTAAATATTACATCATAGTCATCTGACGACAGTTAGATCAGCTGACGGAATCAAAACTTTGACATCCCCCCGAGATAAGGTATTCCCCTCTGCCCCTCTGCACAAAATAACTTCTTGGTATATTCCATGCAAAGCGTCTTTTGGTACGTTTTTAAAAGAATTATTAGAAAGGCAAATGCTCTTATGAAAAGGATCCAAAGTCTTTTTAGAAAGTTATAACTTGACCTTTTATGTAAACTTCTTGGTTTCTAGAAAATAATTATCCCAAATCCATATGGTTGTGAAATATGGTTTCATTCTTGCATATGTCACATGTTTTAAGAACAGATACAGAGCCTTTTTCCGAAGAAAATAAAACTTTATGGTGCGCATTTTTTCCCCTCACTACAGAAAATTTGAGGTTAAAAAATGCGCAGGCCCCTCTAGACATGCCACTTGGGAGGAGCAACAACATCTGTTTATGGGCAATGACCTCAACACTGAAGTAGTGTAGTGCTGTGATAATACCTTTGGAATGCAGTCAATGAGCTGAGAAATCGAAAAGTTTACCGTTGTCATGGAAAACTTGATATCATCATAAATTGGAGCTTCCGCTTTTCAAATACGTAATGAAAAACAAAAGTGCACTATTTTTGGATTTGGTTTTCATTGAAACTATCATCAAAGGTTTGGTTTATCATGACTCATCTCAAACTGTTTGTTACTCCTCCACAGCGCTGTAGAAATGGGTGCGCATTTTTTACTCCCAAAATCGCCATGCGCATTTTTTCCCCCCACTGACCATATATATTTTTCATCATGTTCTTTCGGATTTTCATTCTGACGTTTTATGCTCTGAGGAATGTCAGACCAAAAAGCTTTTGTTGCAAAATGTTTGCTTTTTTCAAAGCCATTTACAAAAATAATTCTCAAGCAGTTAATGCATTGTTCATAGATATTACATTTTCTGAAATCTCATTCAATGCAAAATATGAAGTAACACTAGACATACTTCCAGTCATAAACAGCATCGAATGTAAATTCCCTTGGGGCTTCTTCTTTCTTTGAAGGATTCCTCAGCATGACGTTACCTTTTTTCACATTCATATCCACAACTCTAAGAAAAATAAACAGACACATTCATAAATCTATTTCCCCAAAGCAAAAGCTCTTGCCAGAAAATGTCATTTTATGCATCACATTGAGTAAATTTAAAAAAAATTATTGACAGCACAGTAAACCTTGTCACATGTGATGATGAACTTAAATGATCCCTTTTAGTTTTTCTTCCAACCAAATGAGCTAAAATATGTATTTGCATTTCTTGATCAAAATCATGGGTCCCCTTCTTTATTCATTTTATTCATTACTTTCTCTAGCTTATACAATTAGTAAGCAGGCCTTGCAAGGAGAGGTACCACAGTTGATACAGCGCCTCTACATGCCCCTAGAGATTTCTAGTAGCTTGAATGATTGAGCACTATCCTGTAAATGCTGTTTAAAAACTAAAACGAAAAAAACAAATTTTGTGCAGTGACACTGGTTTCCACACCAAGATATATGTCTCTCTACACTTTAATCACTTATTTTTAACCACAGAAATTAACAAGACCAAAAAATATTAATGTTAAATTTTTTCCAATTAAGAACCTAGGAGGCTGAAGTTTCGGAAAACAACTTTTCTAGTGACATTCAATTATTTCAATTCTCTCCAAGAAATTTGATGAATTAGAAAATTCTGATAATAAATTGAGAGGATTACATTATTTCAAATGATTTATTAAATAATAGACTCTCAAACTAAAATTTACAGAAAATAATAGGAAATTAAGACTTTCAAACCTATCATGACCAGCAGCGATTTCTTTTTCATTCATTGGTCGGCATCTGATAACAACTTTGACACACTCTGCTGCCTTTTTCCCTGCCTTGAGAAATAATAGAGTGTCAAAAATTTTGACTTTAAGATAAACTTGGAAAAATGCACAGACAGGATTTGAGGAAAAAATAAGTCTGCAAGGAACAAGCCGCACCAGATTGCAAAGTTTGGGGAACGGGTTCCCCACGCAATTATTTTTTGCTCCAATTCCGTCTGCGCATTTTTGCAAATTTACATTAATCCAAGCAGTTGGAACATGGACTTTCGTGTGAATTCCGCGCATAGTCTAATCTCGAGCCCTAAAAGTGCTATTTAAAAATGAAATCCCGCAGCTTTTAACCTGTCATTTTGCAACATGATTTGTTCCTGCGCAAGCGTAAGTAACAGAAAATAATTCCCAGCGCACAGTAAATACTTTGCACTCTGGCCTGCGCATACTCAAACTTTGCAGTCTGAACTTAGAGCTCATCCCAATTCAAATATATTCTGCTAAACTGTGTAGCACATTTTCTCCTTGCACCTGAAGACAATCCAACTAGCATTTTGCACTACACTTTCCTACAGGAGATGCAATTAAATAAATTTTTCCTTCATAGTGCTAAAGTAAATTTGGTGTGTTATCTCGAACTTTGGCGGCCACTACACTAACCTCAAGCAGGCATCTGCCATACATACGTTGCAGACTGGGTGCACCCTGAGATCTAGTCTAAGAGTGATTAGATTCCAGTCTTCCTAAATGCCCCATCTTTTTGGCAAAATGTTTTTCGTTTTTTGGATGAATATTCGTGCAACTTTTGAAGATTTTTTTTAAAAAATGAGAATATATTCTGCAAAACAATGGATTCAGCTACTGTTGACTGTATTTGTTTGGCTATGATTGAGGAAAGAGGAAGATGGTTTTTCTTACTTGTTTCCCAGAAAAAACAGATACTATATGATAGCTTCTATCGATACATAATAATGTTACAAAGGGTTTTTAAAATGAAAGTATTGGGTGGAAATGGAAGTAACGCCAAAATCAATGTTTATAATGCCAAGCATCCTTACCATGATTCGAAAATCCCTTTGATCCTTTATCACTTAAGCGGTTTGCTGGATTGGCTTAGTATAATCAGCTTGTTTAGACGGCCAACCCAACTTCCTTATAGGCTGCGAGGAGCAGGTCTTCTTGCAAGCGGCAACCATGGAGACATAAACATTCTAGACACTTGTTTAAGATCGACTTCAAAGAATTGACATCTCGATATAAAAAACTTTCAAACACAGTCTTCTAGATTGTCTTATATATATCAAATGTCTAAACCACACGAACTGACAATTAATACGATAAAAAACACCAGTTCATTAACCAATGCTACCAAAGTTTAGGCCAGCTAATTTTCAAATAAAATATTTTGTAACTACTTCATGTAGTAGGCACTCTAAAAAACTCCCTCGCAGTTTCTTCCGCAGAGAAGAACAATTTCCGCAAAAGATGCAGTTTTTTCTTCCCATTTTTATCATTTCGTGTACGAAACTAAATAGGTAGAAGAATTTTCAAATACATAAAAAGCAAAAGAGCTGGCCACAAAAAAGACAATTTTGATAAAAGGAAATAGCTCCTGGCGGAATAGAATCAGCACAAAAGTAGGTTTGCAACACCAAACGTTTGATCGATGCAGACCAAATTATTATGTCCGTAAATTCTACAGTTATAATAATTTTCTAGAATTTGACGTTGCTTTGATAGTTTTTTAATGTTATATCAGCTGGAAAATTTAACTTCCGTAATAAAATGAAGATATTCGATAAGACCAAGTCACTGAATCAAATTTTCCTATTTTTAAAAGAAACACCAAGCTTGCCCAAAAAAACAAAACTAATATCTTGGGAATTTTTAAGATAGAGCGAGCAATGAAAATAGGAAAGAGAACAACCAAGTAGCTGTAAATGTCGACTAGGGTGGTCACACTCGAGAAAGAGCAATACCTGAGGGTGGCAGGCTTTGAAACAAAACAGATATATAACAACAGATACATGTGGACTTAATTAATTTCACGGAATTATAGTTATGCCAAATTTTCAAAATATCTTTCGGAAAAACTGTAGCCAAAGGGGGCAAGCTCTTGTCAAAATTTGAGGGGGCACAGCCCTTTCCCCTGTACCCCCTGCAGCTACGTGGCTGAAAGAACATCAAGAGACACCAGTGGTTGCTACGAATGGCCAAGAAAAAGGTGAAGGTGACAGAGGAGACAATCTACTATTCTAGCTAGACTTGTAACATCTAAATGGGACAAGCTCAGGAAGAGAAACTGGGGTTGACATGAAAAGTACCTTTTATTATTATATTGCTTACTACCTAGCCTTCGAAGGTAGTTTTAGGACACTGAAAAGCCAAGCTTATCAAGCAGTGTTCTGATCCTTCCTCTTTATGTGAACACATTTCATGATTCATACGCCTGGAATTAGAGAGAGCTGACGACGCTCCTCATTCTGAGAAAGTTTGGTCATGTCAGGGACTCGAGCCACAGACTATAACCACTGAGCTATCCTCGCATCTATTAAAGAAACGTCGTATTTTTAACAATGTACTTCATTTTGGTTCTTAATTTATTCCCTCATTATATTGTCGTTAATTAAATACAGTTTCACAAACAACTTACATAGTTTATACCTTTAAAGGTTTCTTAGACATATATACCCCCAAAGAAGCTAAATACGGTCAGAAAATAATGAAAATTTCAGAAATAGGTAGAACGAAGTTGAAATGTACAGGTCCAGGCACAGGGGGTGCATTTCAAACTGTAATAGGCCTAAAACTTTAGGGCAACATTATTCAGCATGCAGTTTGAGAACATTTACCGATTACTGGGGGCTAAATCCCCTCAGCCCCCTCCCAAATTTTATTGTACCTTTGAGAGACTCTGTACGGGAAGATCTAGGGAGCAAAGGACAGCACAAAGAGGAGACGAAAAAAGGGAAGTAACTGAGATAGAAGATGCTACTTAGGCTCTGAAGTCAGTAAAAAATGAGTACTTTAGTTATGAAATTTAAGAATTGTTTCTTGCAAACAATAATTTTGTTCGGATTGTCTCTAACATATAACCTGGAAAAAATTAAAACGGAGGGAAACATTGAGCGAACTGAATTGATAAAACAGACTTCCGAAAGAAACGATCATTTCACCGTTGGTTATTTTTTTATACAAACCAAAAATACTCAAAATTACGTTTCGCTTTGAATTTTCACACACTATACACATGATTTTATAAATAAAATAATTCGTAACAATCTATGTCATCAGGGTTGCATGTCCCTCTTTTCCCTTCGAGAAATGTTCCTTTCGAGAAATGTTTTCCTATACCGTGAAATGTATTCTTCGACAGACTCTGATATCTCGAAGGTTAAGGAGAGTTGATATGGTTTCATATCTTCATTTTTATCCTAACAGCCTTTGAAACAATTTCAATTATTTTAGTTATTTAAGATTCCTTTAAAAAACTCTGATTGGCTGCAGAAGAACAAACAACCCTGGGATGTATGAAACTGGGGGTTTTCTGGAATATTATAAGATACAAAACTACACGGGTAAAATAAAATAATTATATGTGATAATTAATTACTGTTGCTACCGAAATTCTTGTTTGCAGAGTAACAAACCATCCTTGATATAATGTTTAAAAAGCTACATTAATACAATCAATCTAAGAATCTTTAATAGATTACTTATTTCATAGGACATTCTAAACTGAAATGAACCTACAAAGAATATCATAAGTTACATAAACTCGACAAATCCTAAATGAGCAAAAATTTCATTTGGTGATGCAAAGTTTGGGTGATTTTGGAAACATATATTGAAATAGGTTTTAACTTGAACCTGGGTTATCGACATTTGGCTAATTAAAATAATTAATGCATATTTCTAAATTTTCACAGGAGGATGAACTTGATATCTAATATCACTTAAATCCTAGATAGTTAGATGAAAAGTTACCCGAAACATAATGACCTATAAATCTTGCTCGTTATCTCCAAACAATCTTTTTGTGGTACAAAATTTAAAAACGGCTTTGAAAAAAGAAAACATTTTGAAAAATATTAAAGCCTTTCACCTGATACTTCTCACGTTTTTAACAAGCCTATTTCGATCCACAGCTGGGTATATATACTTCATAGCGTTTCCGATCTATGTTTTGACGTTTTATACTCCGAAGAGTATCAGAAGAAAAGCTTTAGCACGTTTCAAAATGTTTGTACTTTTAAAAGGCATGATCACATTTTACTTCGATCTTAGCTATATCTAGCCACAGATTTTGTTATCGCGACTGTTTAAAACAGGGCTTTGGCAAAAGCAAAATAATTCAAAATAATATGCATAATTATAAGCTTATTTCCTAGCACTAAACATCAAATACTTTGTAGAGTTCAGACCATTAGCATGAGGGTTGAATGACTGAATACCGGAAAGTGATACACATTTTACGTTTTCACAAGAAAGGGAAATCTGAAGTTTCTTTTGACTGAGTAACGACTCAGCTAGGAGTCGTGAACGGCGGGGGAAAAGTAAAAAAATAATGAGGTGTTTTTAAAATATTTTGGAAAAATTTACAGATGAAAAATTTACAAGGAGCCTAAAAATCAAGCTATCTATCTTTTCATTGAATATGGCATTGAACGAAATGTTCGAGAGGATGTTAAGTCGTTTGAAAGAAACTAAGAGCTTCATCTGGCCGGCAAGTTTCTCTTGAAAAATACTTGACCTCTTATGATTTGCATCTTAGTCTTCAGTGGTATCAAAGTCTTTTAGCATAGCTTGAAGGGAATGCACCTCGTTTACCATTTGATCTTCCCACAGTCCAGCCATTTCCTTCATCTTCAACGACAACCACAATCTAGAAACAAAATAGTTTATGTCCAGACCTGCACCTACAACTTTAAGTTACTCTCTAAAAAGACGACATTATTTCTAATCGTAAACTTATCTGAAGATCACATTTCAAGATACTGCAAATAAAATAATTTTAAGAAAAAAACAATGGTAGCTATTTTTAGCCACAATGAATTGAAGCAATCGTAACCCATGATAAAAAATTTCAAAAGGAGTCCACTATGTAACGTAACTTATAGCCTCCAGAAATCCGGTTTTGCCTTAAAAAACCTTAAGATAGAAGGAACTTCTTTCTATTCAAATAGAGGATAGTGTGGGAGCTTACTTGGCCTTGCTCAAGTGAGATTTCATCGCTGTCTTCTTCGCCATCAAAAGCATACAGTATTCTCACAATGACGTCCTTTTCATCAATTTTCTAGTATGATACAGACAAATAATAACCATTTATTCTACAAAGATAATTAAATACAAATAGGTCATTTCAAAAACTTGTTGTTCTATACGCAAAGTAAAAAAAAGCGATGGATTGTTATTACAAAAATTTCTCAAAAGCATTTTCCTCAGAAATATGTAAAAGATATGTGAGCTAAAAATGGATATGAATGCTGGATATGAACATTGTCTTAAAAGCAATTTCAACATTGTGTTAAAATCTCCATACTATTTTTGCTTTATTAAAAATATTTCCTACGCTATTTCCCATATAAAATAAAGCGTTTGACCACACTTTTGGTACAGATGATCAGCTGTGTCGTCAAAAGATGTTTTTTAAAATATTGTCGTAATAATAAGGACTTTCCGACGTAAAATTGGACCAAAAAACAGAGAAAAGCTATTTTGTGCCCCAAATATAAAATACAAAAATTTCAATGATGATTTTGGATCACGCTTAGAAAAAAAGCAGATCCAGTGTCTTTATATCCGAGCTTGTCAACAGGGCACAAAAACCCCTGGAGCCTTTCCTGTTCTAAGAAATTTTTCAGTACAGAGCACGGATACAGGTACAGAGCTCTTTTGAAACGGTTCGTGCTGACGAGAACATGCTCGAAATGTCGTGTTTTAATATTCTTGTTCATATTTGATACTTGAATTGTTCACTCGTTATATTGTCGTTTTCTTTTTAAAGTACAACACGCAAATAACAAATTATGTTTGATTTTTTTGCTTACTTCGACATACGAGGAAGGAAAATATCCCCTGTTTCCGTTGCATATACCCTGAAAAGAAATCAAATATATTTTGAAGACAAAGAGCAAACTGGACTTCTAAAAAACATCGAAACTACTCCAAAAAGCAAACGAAATGGTCAGCAGCTGAACACTTAAAATGACGCTTTTTTTGTTGATGAGCGACTTCAAGAAAATCCTCGAATAATGAGAAAAGCACAGGCTTTTTCACAAGCAAAAAAGAATTTTCTATTTCCACTTTATTGTTCTTTGATTTCCTTCTCTTTAGCAATTTCTTTGCCTAATGAACATCTAAATAAGCTGTTGTGGCGTTTATAAAGGAATACTTGATCTCGAAAGATCTAGGAATATTTGCTTTTCTCTGCATCCTAATTCCGTACGCATATTTTGTCATTGCCAAACACCATTGCTATGATCCAGTTTTTTTTTATTCATAGAAATTAATAACAAAACAATTTTACATTGACTATACTACCCTAATTACTGTACTACACTACGGGGACGATACCATGAGGAGCGAAAGACAATAACGAACCCATGGCCAATACATAAAAAACGCACAACATTAAAAAAAGATAGAAATAAATAGAACTAAAATTATGTAAACTTTTGCGAATAGAGAGTAAATAGACAAAAAGTAGATGCTAATGTATAGAAGTGTGCAGCAATGGAATATTTAGAAGCGTTCTGAAGCATGAATGAATTTGAGTGTATGATCCAGTTAATCAAACCATTAATTAAATTATTACCAAACCACTCTAATTGATAAAAATTGACTTCTCAGAAAATTTATCGTTTTGCTGTCTTTTTCTTTACTTATTTTGTTTTTACATAAGTAAATAATTTCCAATTAAAATTCTACCTTTTTCTCGCAAGAATGAAATTTTTGCTCAAGTCTTTAGAAAGAAGTCAAACAAAATATTAAATGATTTACAAACCTCCCACCATTCTTCACCGGACTGATCGATTATTTGAATTTTCTCTCCTGATCTATCAATATTAAAGAAAGATATATTTGTGCGAAATAAGGATTTCCTGATCGGATTTGTTATTAGCATAGAAACAAATGGCTATTCAAGAGAAATGTAGGGAGAGTATAAAATCAGGCAGTAAAAAAAGCATACACAGAGTTGAATGTGAAGTATATATTAATTTACGATGAAGAATTTTTGTAAACTTACTTCATTGAAAGATCTTGAGTCTCTTGGCCTTGGAAATCAAACAAAGCCACGCACAGAGGAAGATTCTGCAAGAAAAACAGGAAGATCGATGATGTAAACATTTCTCTTTTCAAAATGTAACTATAGCATAAAGGAGTTAGAGCAGTCACAAGTCAAAACTAGCAAAGAAAGGACGTAATAGAAAAGTAAGTAAAATGGTCGAGTTTGTATGATGTAAAGCCATAGAGATATGTGTAAACCATCAAGATGCCGGCAACTGTACATTTGTAACATTCCATGGATAAAGTTGAAAATTTAAAATTCCAACATACTAGTTATTTAGAATACTATCTGCAGTCAATTCTATAGAATATAGTATAAGTGGAAAAGTTATTCACCTGTTTGGGCAAAGATTTGGGGGAACTCTTGGCTAACACAACAGTTGATAATGGTCTCTGGTTTGCGTGATTTGCAGCATCTTGCGGCAGCTCTGTACAGAAAAGCAATAAAAAATTTGCAAGCGAATGAAGAAATATTTCTGATCAAGCAACTCTAAATATTCGACAGAATAGGAAACTTAAAGACAAATTAAATGATCATGGGTTACACATAGAGCTGATAAACGACATAGTTCCCTCTCTTTAACTGTCTAACACGGTTTAATATATCACGTTTAATTGTTATTAAAATTTGGTACAAAAAATACAGCAGAAACAGCTTCCTATCATATTGAAGAGATTTGTAATTGTAAAAATTCGTCTCGCACTGGCTGCGAAAAATTTGTTCAAAAAGGCCAATAAAAATTCTGCCACTTCTGCCTTGTTCATATCTTAAAGGCGTATATATATAAAACAATTGGGATAGTAGGAAAGATGTTTTTAAGAAGATCGTTTGTCTCATAGAGAGTACCACATGAAAACCTTGATAATGAGCAGACTTTTTACAACAGATTTAGCGTCTATCAACAGTGAAATTTACGAATCTTAGAGAAAATATATGGATTTGCGACTGATTGCGACACAATGGTTTATGATTTTTTCCTTTTCTTAAAACGACGTATTGAACAGGATGCGTGAATCTGCCATTAAAGGATAAATCAGTGGATTGAGCCTTGGGCTACAGGTCCAAGAGTCGTGACCAAAATCTCACTAAGAGTGAGGAGTGTGGCCAACTCTCTGTTACTCCAGGCGTAGGAATCACGAAACTTGGTCAATCAAGGGGAGAGACTAGGGCACTGTTAAGAAAGCACAGCTACTCAGTGTTCTAAAATCTCTGGAGATAGCAAATACAAAGGTACCAAACTAACTATCTTGACAGTTAAAAATAGAAATATAAATACAAAAGTGTCCCAGTTTTGAGAATAATATGGAAATAGGAAAAAAGCAAGCAGAATGTACCATAATCATCATCTGCTGAAGAAGTCGTTTGACTTTGATTTGAGATTCGTGATGCTCTTCTGATTCGCTCCAGATCTTCAGGCTCTATCTCCTCATACACACTCTCTAACAGAAAAGACCAAATTTCAAATTATCAAAGAAGAACGATTGAGTAATTTGCTAAAACAATTCGTTGCCTAACAACTGAAGTTTCAAAAGGAAGTTAGACATTATAAGCTATATCATGTTTAATTATATTTGATAAGAACAACCAAAAATTACAAATTTTAGTAGTACAGATATTCAATAAAATAGAATGGTCAGTACAATAATTTTCGATTTGATAAAGACATAAAAGTTGAGATGTACGAGCTATTTTCTCTGTTGGTTTGACAAAATTTCATACAGCAAAAAACGGCAAAAAACGACAAAGAACAAATGACAAAAACTTTATTAGCTTCTCACCACCATCATGTAGCGAATCATCCCCTATAACAGGTGAAGAAACTTTCTTCGAGTGATCCTGAAATTTCAATTTAGAAAATTGGCAAAAACAAATACAATAACTGGTTATATTGAACTGTCAAATAAAATCAATAATTACAAGAGGCACTGGCTGGCCTCAAGATTAAAAAAGAATGCTATTCGAGAGAAGCTGATATGGCTATGGCGTTTCCGTTCAGCTTCAATCAACAAACGTTTTTATCATTCGTTTCTTCATCACTCGATAAGGAGTCAGCTTTTCGTATCTTTCTCGGATTTGATTTTATTGTATTTAACACAAATTAATATAATAAGTTTCTTACATAAACTTGATGACCTTGTCTTTTTTCGCTATGACTGGCACATTTAAATTTGGATATGGATTTATTTAGTTTTATAACTTTTGATAGAAAAAATTATAAGGACATAAAACTGGGCCTATGTTTCGTAGTCTGATATAAATACCAACCAAAACAAATTCTTCAAAACCAATATAAATACACACGAGATGCCAAGAGTGGAGAAAGAATTGCCAATTCGGCCAATTTTAAGAAGCAGTTTCGCAAATTACATGGTAGAAATGAATTTATGGCGTGAAAAGCCAGCCTAAGCCTAAGCATGACTCGTTTTCAGTTCTACGCTTTTACGCATGACTCGTTACGTTGTGTACGCTTTGATTAAAGGCAAGGGCCTTATAATCTAAGGAAAATCACAGCACAATCTGCAAAATTCCTTCAACTTCCAATAACCATCTTTATGATAAACTACTCCAAAGCATTTGTATAATAAATTAATCTTCAGCAAAACTATTTGTCATGTTAAGCCTATCGAGATAATAATTGGTGAGACCGATCGACATTCCTTCGTTGTCTTTCCCGAATAAACAGTTAAGGGCCTATATAATAACTTACAGACTCTTTCGGCGACTCGACACAGAACGCCACGTTTCGTTTGCATTTTTTGTGCACGTTCATTCTACATCTCTGGCACTTCAGTCCTTGCTTCACGAGACCTGGAAGCGAATAAGAGTGGCTTGTTGGTATATCATCATTGAAGCTGTACTTAAGATGAAGCTTTTGTGTCTCGCAAACTTTAGCTAGCACAAAGGAACCCCAAATTACTATGTCAATCATACATCGTTAGCAACCCCACATTACTCTACATTTGACCCGTTAGCAACCAGTTAACTTACACACAGCTGTAACACCAACACAAGAAACCTTATAATCACGTTTCCAGCGGCACAGAGATTGAATGAAAATTTTTAAACATAAAAAAACTAGGTTTCACAACAACACACTCATAAAGATCTTCATTCTTATCAACATTGAAATTTTATCGAAAATTATTTGATTGCAAATTCTGCATAGTTTTCCAGGCTTGAACTAAGATGCACTGTTATGAATTTCATCGGTTCCTGTCACAGAAAAGTTTTTGAAATCTGAATTCACAGACATTCAGTTTTTTGTTTCTATTAGTTTTTGCTGATATGGGATACCTATCCCTTTTGCTGATCAGATTTTACATCCAATTAAAAATCAATTTTTTTGTGAGTGGAGAATTTGATTATTCGAAATTGATTTGAAACAAGGGTATTGGTGGTGAACAGAGAAGGGAAAATGAAATCTATCCAGTGCAACTCCACAAGCTTACGAAAAAACCCAAGGGTTAAATGCTTTTGCCGTTCTCATATCTAAATCCTTTTCTTCTTAAAAGTTGAAATCAACGACCAACACACCAACAATTATTCCTTTGCAGTAATGACACTGAGCTGGTTTGAGAAAGTTATGTTCTATAAACTGGTGCGGTTTTTCTTTTCGTGTTAGATGGTCTTGTCATTTGGTCTTCCAATTGTTATTGTTTTCTGTTTTCCAATATCGTTTGCATAATCATCCGATATAGGGCCCAGTTGCTCCAAAATTTCGTCTGTGAACAAAGTCATCTGTAGATGAAAAAACAGCTATATAAAATATAGCGTAACGACACGTTCCGTGACAGCCTACATCAGTGGAAAATACGTGAAAAGGTGTTGTGAAGAGGGGCAACAGAAAAATAGTAGACAAAACAGGGACAATTTTTGGGCGTTGCCAACTGAGGATGGGGCAACCTCGTTTTCCTTATGTATGCCAAACCCTTCAATATGGCGTTCAAAATGCGTCCTGTAAAGTAAAAGCTTCCTCCTTCAGCTACAGCCTTCCAAAGTGTTGGATACTGATAAACATAACTAAAATCCTGACCAAAAGGTTAGTGGACTGAAGAAAATAACCATTAAAATTGCGATTTTACTCCAATAATATTATCAAAACTCCCCAACCCTGCTACAATGTTGGTTTTCTGGAAAATACCCAGGTAACAGCAATCGAAACGAGTAGAAATAAGCGTATCGACATTGGCTGGGGGGTGGGGAGTATATTTTTTCAAATGGTTGCAATTGCCAGCCAGTCCAATAACGTTTGGCCAGGATTGTAGCTTCGAAATTTCTCCTGGCGCTTTTAAACATTTTATCCATTTATAGTACTTATTACTTTCCAGGACTCCTTTAAATTGCCATATGACATTATGGCGTTTTTTTCTACAATACTATATTGGTAATCAGCTAAATATTTCACAGAAAGCAAACTTCAGCTACCTGAGCGTAGAGGGTATTTTGCAGACTTCGCTGATCCCTGAAATCATTTGTCTTATGAAGCACTTCGATCTCATCAACCGATGGCTCTTGATTGTCGTTCGATTCTTTATCCCTGCAAAACACAAAGGCCATTCCAATAAGAAATTACTCCAAGTATTTTTCAAATATAAAGGATACTCTGAGACACGTCCAGGAAAAGACTCCCTTTTCTTTTTCCAAGGCAGCTTGTCCAGACATGCATTGCATTTGTACCATATTCATTTGATTACACAGAGATGTTAGAATTCATTTGGTGGAAGGCATCTGTTGCCTTCCATACACACATGTTGCGAACGTAACAAGACATGATTTGGCAAATATTAAGGAGTGCGTCCCCAGTCCCCTTGACTAAAAAACTTAGTTTAATACAACGTCAGCTGATGCTAACGTCGAGTCATTAAGTAGCTAAAAGAGGTTTTTCAGTTTTATTGACTGCCTTATCAAAATTTTTGGCCAAAATAACAGCCTTTACCTTTGCAGCAGCTCTTTTGATGTGTTGATTTGTGACTGCAGTGTTCGCATCGATGCATCAAGTTCAGCTATCTGTATATTTACACAAAAAATGATCGTCATTAACTGGCACATAAAGTAAAAAACAGGAAAATGAAGGTTCTGTAAGAAGAAGTCTTGTAAAAAGTCTAAGAAAATTCTCAATAATTCAATCCGAATGACTGTTTTGAATTTGACATGATAGCTTTGGTACTAAGTTTCCCGAAATTTCAAATAAATCTACAAAGTGCAGCCATCTCATAATTCCAAGATCGATATTTCAAATCTGAAAGTTTATAAAAGCTTCCGGTCCACTGCTTAATCCCTATAATTTACGAACAATATCCCTTTCTCTGGCATTTGTAAACAATAGGAAACTTTAAGACTGTCTCCATATATTTTAATTACACACGTCCATACATTTTATGGTTGATGTTAGGGAGAACATCAATAAAAATACAAAGCATTACTTTTAGCATTGCTGCTTAGTTTATGGACATTTTAGGGTTAATTTATTGATAAAAAAGTGTCCAAACTTTAGGGATTCACGCATTGAGTAGTAGACAAATACAATAACATGAAATTGATACAGTAAGAAGAGCTATGTTTTAAGTAAAAAGTAAGCTGATCTGGATTGCATGAAACAATCAAAATTCCTACCCGTTTTCTTGAATATGCAACGGTTCTCTTAAGCATTGGCTCTGTGAATTGGTCAACAATTATGGCTTTGTCAAGGTACGTCTGCAAAGAAAGAACTCTCTTAAGATTTAAACTGGGAGAAGGGTTGCTAATACAGTCATTTGAAATATACTGGTAACAAATAGTTTAAAGACAAATCTCTGTTCAAAGGAGCATAATGAAACTAAAATATAAAAGATTTTGAAGCACATATAGCAAAGACAGGGATTGAGTTTGTCAGTGAAGCATGAAAATATGAACGAGATTCAAAAAGGAGGATATTCAATATAGTTTCTTGAAGCATTCAAAGTGAAAATTTCCGCTGGAAAAACAGCGGAAAACAGTGGAAAAACATATTAATCACCCAACTACATCCTTAGATCATGATACCATGTTATAAAGGTTTGAATGAAAAGCACAAAGTCTTCACAAAATTATTTAAAATGATTTTGTAACATACTAAAGCTTTCAGTCACAAGATCAAGATAGAAAATATATACCCAGTTGTGGATCGAAAAAGGCCAATCAGAGAACTGCCAGCACATGATTGGCCTATTTCGATCCACAACTGGGTATATATTCTCCAGCTTGATCTTTTAGACCCTGATTCTGACGTTTAATACTCTGAGGAGTCTCAGACAAGTATGCTTTTCAAAGCCAATTTCAAACTTAGTACCGACCAAAAAATTTTCACAATATTTTGAGAAGGCATCACTACACATTAGAAGAATAAATAAGCATGTAATGGGCACACACTAGCTGTTTTGTCTCTTGATCCTTGAATTCCTTAGTTGCTTTTGGTTTGAAGAACTGTCTGAACGGGATTTCGCGATCATGTAAGCTGTGATTCGCGAATTTTACGAAATTTGTTATATCCGCATCAACGTCAATTTTCTTCGCAACTTCGACAGCGTTATCCATCCGTGTTATTAGTTTATTTAGCTGTTAAAATAAGCAAAAAATATAAAGAGTACTGACTAAATCACGTCTTTTTATGTTTGCTTCAAAAGTGGTTGTTAAATTACAAATAGACAACTTCTAGAGGAGTTTACGAAAGGACAAACAAAATACTACTGAAGTTGTTTATAATCCGTGGCAGGAAGATGAGCCAGCTATCACTGAAATTCATTTTGACAAAAGAATAGCAACTGTTTTACTTTCGAAATGCTGCATAAAATAAACTAAAGAAGGTTGTAAAAATGTGTTGGAGACTTTTATTCTCTCGAGTTCATATTAGAATCACGGTAGCTTTTGGTGAAGAGGCTTCAAATTATAAATATATAATATTATAGGCCGTCTTGGTTGTGACGTTATTTCGCAGTCAACTTACCGTATCTTTCTGGATGCCAAGAAACTGTTTTAGATATTTCAAAAGAGAATCGTTCATATCTTTGTGTATTGTTTCTACATCCTGCAAAGATGACAAAATCAAGCACAATAATTTCTATCTGAATGCTCGTCGCAGTGCGATACAATCTGTTGAAAAGGTTTATCTTCACGTTATTAGATGGAGGGACACTAGTTCTCATTTGCTGGGAACGTAACAACTGTATTTTTTAACAATGAGGTCTAGGTTGTTTAGGAATCACATTTGAAAGCTCAATGTGGTTTATCAAAATAAGACATAAGAAAGACAAAATTACCTGTTGAGTCTTAAGTTGAACATTTAGAAGCAGAAAGGTATTTTCAAACTTTCGAATCAAGAGTATGTCAATATTACATATAAAGTAACTTTCAAAGGGATAGAATCTATTTAGGCCGAGAAAATGTGCGGCAGAACAAAATTTTATCAGACAATCCAATCACTAATCTGTTGAATGATACAAACCAATTCTGGACAAAATTGTTGAGACAAGTTTCTCAATTTTTGCAATTTTCTACTTTACGTTGCCCCTGTAAATTGGAATCCCCCTTTCCTCTAGAATCCATGTTAGATTTGTAATTTTATCATTTTTGCTTCAAAAACATGCATTCGACATTGAATGAGGGAAGAGAAAACACAGAGTTATTTTTGTAAGAAATGAGAAAACATAAACGTTTCTTGAAAAGTCTCAATTATTTTTGTCTGGGATCTTAGTTACTACCTAGTGAGACAAAAGAATGGCTGGTTTAGAAACACTTGCAATCTTTATGCCATTCTATGTTGCCTAGCAATAATGCATGTTATTTACAGGGAAACGCTATTGAAGAGGAAGCATGAAAGAAACTCACGTCAAGGATGTCGGGAACGGTGTGTTTATAATGCGTTTCGTTCATACTGTTTACATTGGCTAGTTGTAAAAGAAATGAGTTGTGTTCGTTGTGATAAACAGCAATATGATGATCCTGAAATGAATGAACCAATGCAATAGCATCTAAGTGATCTTGATTACAAAGCAAAACTTATATTAAGAAGATAAGAAGAAGCAGAGGACATATAATTGAGGCTTGAGGAACAACAGTTGGCAAACTATTCTGCTCATTCTGCAAGACGATAATAGATAATAAAATTGAAAATTGAAAATCCGGAAAGAATGTCACAAAAAAAGATGGTTCTTACTCATACCCTAAACAACTGGACACTACAACTCTGATTTTTTAAAATCATATTCTCTAGCAATAATATCGTTTGATTCATACAATGACTGCAATTTCAAAAAAATGGCCTTTTTTAGAAAATGTTTCCTTAATTTTCTTTAAAAAGACAACATAGCAAATTTTGGAAATGTTCACTTTGAAGCGTATACTCAGAAAACCACAGAAAAACTCGGTTAAAATCAGTTAGAATATCTATATCCATTGAACTATATCTATTTTCTTTCAGTTTTGTATTCAAAGCCAGAAAGCTCTAGAAATAGATTTTCTAATTTAAGAAAAATATTTGGTAGGACGATATTGAGGGGAATGGCAAAGTGACTTAAACTGTTGGAAAAAGTGACGATTTCTGGCAATTCTAACGAAATAAAAAATGTATTACCCAATTTTTCAGAAAAAAATATTGAGTTTTAAGGCAATAATCACTATAACGAAATTTACGTTACCTTTAAATTTTCTTTCTCGTGTGTGTTAAATTTGTACCAGGCATCTGAGTAGTCTTTATGCCTCTGAAAAATAAGAGGAAAACGTTATTATAATATATGTACATTAATACACAAATAAATACACAAATTAACACACTAATTAGTTTCCAAGTCAAGAAAATCCCCAACATATTCCAAATACCCCACGTGTTCCTTGTGGTCAACAGTGATTGGAACCTAGACAGCATCTGTAAAGTGAAGCATTAGTGAAACAAAAGGTCTTGGCGAAAGTCTTTAATCTTTAATCGGGATTTTGTGGTTTTTGGTTTACATTAAACAATTTTGGTGAAGTCATGAAACATATCAGCCCTTCAAACAATTCCGAAGGATTTTCTTGCTTAACATTCCTATATAATCTTTTTGTTTTGACTCATCCCATTTGCTACATATCATAATGATATTGATAATGATACCCTCTATTTAAAACCCGCAAAATAAGTCTTGTTCTCATACTAAACAGGATACAAAACAATGAAAGGCAGTTGAAAGAATTTATAAAAGATCTTTCATGTTTCAAGTATATGACTTGAAAAAATTATTTGTGTCAAACAGTAAAAGATCAGTGCCTCTTGAAGATTTCTACACTCCTGAATAGAACGGTTTTTAATGAATCACAAACTATTTAAATACATTTGTTATTCATCACTTTTATTACATACTAGCCAATAAAAATATCGAAATTTTAACAGACAGGAATCATAATAAGCTCAGAGTGGCTGGCAAATGTTTAAAAAAATCAATAAATAGAGGGCATTTTGATGATAGACAAAAGACTATGATATTTTAAGACTATAAAATGGCACAAAATAGAAGATATCTTCTGATGTTATGAATCAAATCAGGAATTAACATGGAGTAAATCAAACTTTTCCTATTTTCATTAGTGATATGAAGCATCAATTTAAATTACCTTATTCAGTTCATCTTCTGATTTACTTATCTGGATCTGATAGGATTCACGATATGCAAAACTCTAAAAATTGAAAGCAACTTGTGAGCTCTGAAGTATTATCAGTAGCAGTCCATCTGCAGGGAAAACTACAGGAGATTGCCAATTCCTAAAAACTGCAAGGCATTGCTACTTCACAAAAACATCTGGCAGTTTAAGAAAAATGTCTCAACACACTCAAAAATCTCTACATGTGCCAAAACCTGAATATAATTTTTCTTGACAGCAGGGTTTATTTTAACATGCAGTGATAACCAATTTGTGCAGTGGTAAATCGTTATTGTGCAGTGAAAGACTAAATATTTTGCAATGATAAAACTAAAATAAAGAGATTTGCCATTGAAAAAGCAAAATTGAAGCAACTGCCAGTAGACACATAAAGCTTACAAAAGAGCATTGCAATATTAAAAACGAAAACATAACAGTAACAGTGATCATAATCCAGTTAGATTGAAGGGTGTGATCATGAAAATCTTCAAAAGGTGAAATCCAAAATTCCAAAAGTTTTGAATATGTGCAGTGACAAAAATTTCTTTAAATAAACTCTGCTTCACAGAGTGTCAAATTATTCGGCAATGAAGATGGCAACCCGGCAATGGCTGGAGTGAGAAGGTTGGGACACACACTTAGAAGACCGGAAGATAACATCTTCAGGAGGGTCTTGGATTTCAAGGTAAATGGTCAAAGAGGAGGGGGAAGGCCCAAGAAGATGTGGATGGGTCAGGTGGGAGAGGAGATAAAGAAGGTGGGTTCGATGAAAGAGGGCAGAAAGCCATTTAAAAAGAAAAAACAAGACAAGAAGTAAATACATTTAACCACCTGCTTCAAAGTGGAAGCCCTAGGATCAAAATTGGTTTGATGATGATAACGATGACAAGAAAAATGAAAAACTAGAAACATTGTTTCCTACTAAAATTTTCATTCCAGTTTGAATTAAGGTTGCCAGATTAGGGGGCTGCAGCCCTCCTTGTCCTTTTGACTCCTATACCTTTGATTGTTTACCTTTTTACAAAAGTGCTTTTTTCTCTCTGCTGTTCTTAGCAATGGGCAAGCAACACTTCTTTGGAGCTGCTGTCCAAGTTCTGTCAGATCCTAAATAAAAAAGAATGCAATAGATTTAGAGGACCGTCATTAAAACATTTAAATTTCTTCAAAATAACATGCCATGAAACAAAAGTTATGGAAAGTATTGAATGGGGAATCTTGGTAAACAATAAAATTTATTTTGCAGTGACTAGCTATGCAAGTTATCAAAGGTCACAGGTTAAAAATGTGATGACAACACCCATTCTTTCATTTTCCGTTTAATGTGACCACATCCTTATTAACATCTGCTACTTTTTGTTTCTCCATAGACTAATATGGAGGGTTTTCTCTCCTTAATTAGCTTAGCTACTGAGAAATTCCTTGCACAAAACTTCCCTTTTATCAAAATTACACAGTCAGTTAAATCTTTAACCTATTGTCTTTCTAAGTGTCCCTTATTCTCTGTGTAGTGCTTAGTGTTTATAGAATTGTATGTAGTGGGATTTCAAAATATGAAACAGAAACTGAAACTAAAATATAAGAAAATGACTCCTGTCATTACACAAAAAGAAAACCATTTTATGCCAGAGCAATCTATACCTTGGCTTCATTTTCCACCTCACCAAGGATAGCATCCCATGCATCTAAAAATGTTTTGCTTTGACATTCTGGCCTAAAGGAAAAATATTTGAATTGAGCCCAGAAATTTGGCCAGTCTCATGGATAACATCAATGTTAACAATAAAAACCCTTTTTGAGCTAAGCTCTACTAAAAAATCTGCAATATATTCTGCATAAAATAGCAGTTTGTTTTGATTTTTAGATATATTGTAGGGGCACGGACATAGGCGTACCTCATTTAATAAAAACAAGCCTGCTTCAATTTATATATATTGATTTCTAGCTAAAAACCAATCAAAGTGGTTATGAAAAATGATGGGTTATTATCATATATGCATTTATTTTCAGTTTGATGGGCAGGTCTAAATGATCTACTAAATCAAGGGAACCAACCACAATCACAGACCCCGACCAACCACAATCACACTCATATAGGGTCACTAAAGAAGTCATCATCATGAGCCATATTGGTGACTTACTATATAAGGAAAACTATATTTTGTGCTGTCACTATAGAATCACATCACAGTGTTATCACTAAGGAATGAGGTCTTTCAAAGACCTTTCTGGATCTGTCATCATTTTAAAGATTTTTTAATCATTACTTTAGTGAGTCACCTTTTTCTTATCTCTATGGTCTTCCTTCTGAATGTTTCAACCAGAGCATTCAAACTTACTGCAGTCTGCTCCTTAATTCCAGCCAGCTTGTGGCAAAATTCACTGACTAAGACAATATAAAATATTCAATCAAGATTGCATACCAGTATCCTTTTCACTCATATAATTTCACCTTATGCATAGATGGAAAATCAACAAACTTCATTCAAGGTTCAAGAAAATAACTGATAAAGAAAGAGATGATTACTAGCATGAAAATGGGATTAATATAATGTCTAAGATGCTAAGTGACTCATGAGACATTTGAACTTTGACAAAAATCAGTGATGCATTTACCCATGGGCCCACTGGGCCTGGGCCCCCTTAAATTTTTAATTTAGGGGGCCTCGATCAAAATTTTGAAAAGCATACGAAGTGCTGTTTTTTTCAGTCTTGCGTTTGAAATGAGTAGTAACATCTTCAGACAACAGAATGGCTTGGTTAAATGCCACACTGCCCCCTACTCCTCTGTCTATGCCTGATGCAATTGCTGCTAGCAGGGTTTTTAAAGGGTTTAATTAGACAAAACATTGACATTCGTGATAAAACATTTTCACAGTAAAACTATAATGATGTTAACAGAGAGATCTTTATTATGTTATAGAGGGGGTGTCACTTCTGTGCAGGACAAAAACAGTGCAGTATTGGCTAATTTATGTTGTGGAGATTTATGATTGGTGTACCACATCCCACTTTATTGTGGCCACTCCTCTCGACGTTCCTGATAAATTTTGGAACTCCACGAATACGATCATTAAAAATTTTTAATGAGGCAATGCATACATCATGACTGCTCCGAGGATCGGGAAAAACTGCCTGAGTAAAACTTCTCACAGTTTATACTTTTGATCTACAACAAAGCCTTTTTACCTAGAATTAAATAATCATAAAGACGATAAATGTTTTAGTACTACGTTGAAAGTGTCCGCAACAAGCAATGTTATTTATACCAAAGAGCATGCAAATTTCAAATCTTGATGCTAAAACATACATTATATTCTTGATTTAATAAAAATTAGATTCCCTTCAAAGTCGAATTTGTGGTTTCTTGTATAAAAACAAGAAATCTTAAAAACCAACATCAACCGCGGCCGTCTCTTCTGGGTTAGGCCTAGACCGAAATGTGATGAAAAGCTAACACCTAGTAATAAAAATTAAATATTACCTGTTTTAGTCAACTTGATGACAGAATAAACATTAGTTTTGATGGATTCATTCTCTCCTTTGGCAGTGAGTTCTCTGAATTTTAATTCATGGACATATCCAAGAGTATTTGCTTCCATTTTCACCACAATGTTGGCCTACAGACTGCCTGATCGTAAATGGAAATTACATTCAGTCACTTCCTCGTTACAAAAGTTTATTGTTTCCGGCCAGTTGCGGTTTGGAATTTTGTAAACAAAAGTTTGCTCAATCAATAGGTGAAAAAGTCCGGAAGAAAAACTTTAAATTGTACAAAAATAGGAAAGAAGAGAAACAACTCTAGAAGAATAAGAAATATGTTAGGAGTTTGGTGGAGGGAAATGGAAAACACTGTGTTCGATGCAGGGTAAAGCCCCCTTGCCCCACTATTAAGGGTGAACTTTTTCTTTGATAAAACACGGGATAATGATCATTTTAAAACGCTGATTTTAAAAAAAATCAGGACAATTTCAGGGGCAGGTGCTTAGAGGACATAATAAAGTAGATTCATTGAAAGAAAAATTGTTTCAAAAAGTAAAGGATCTAAATTTTTAAACAGGTATTGAATTTTTCATTAAAGCGACAACGATTGCGTGATTAATTCACAAAGCTACTAGATAAGTTTTATCACTCTCACACAAGCGAATCAGATATCACTCTGGATACTCTTATTCCTGGACAGATATAATCTCAACGTAACTTTCGCCATAGCAACCCATCATTGCAACATATCAGTTACTTTATCGACGCACCTCCCCCAGAATCCTGCGAGACATCCTAATACTCTTACATGAAAAATTACTATAACTAGAAATAGCTCTTGCTAGTACTGCCCGCAAACAATTAGTTCCTTGATAATGATTGTTTTGAAAATTTAGGTCAGGATGTTCGAAGAAGACACCATCTTGGGTTTTCACAATTTTTTAAAAACAGCTGCTCTAGTTGATGCTAAACTATTCTTTTTATCAAGAATTTTTGGTGTTCAGTTTGCCTTTGATTTAAGTCCCAACGCCCTTTTGAAAATCATGAAAGTTTTTCAAGGGTTTGACATTTATTTTTCGATAATCACGCCAATCATAACTTTTGCTCGTACGGTCTCGAGTTTTTGGGAGAAAGGTGTGGCATTCGACTGGTTTTGATTCCCAAAACTTCGAACCAAAACTTCCATCCATTGCGGAGAACCGAGCTGTTATGCAGCACCGTTTTCGTGCCAAAAAACCGAAGGCCTTTAACAGAGTATTGGCAGAGCAACGCTCCGAAGATAATTCCCTTCCGCACAAAGAGGTGGCGGTTAACGACCTCCTCGACAAAGCCGATTGATTGACAATGAAATTGATTGACAGTTGTCATGGCAGCAGAAAAGTGACAAAATCTGCTGACAAAGTGCTGACAACATGAACTGAAGCTTCCATATGCTACTTATACGCGGGGCAGACTATAAGCCCTTCACTCGCGCGCTATCGCGCGCGAGTTGCGGGCAATAACAATGATTTGTAAGTAAATTGCACCAGGAGAAATTTTTTGAAATAAATAACGACGTTTCGAGCATAGCACATTATCAACTTAAAACCTATTTATTAACCTTAGTAACAAGTAATTCTATTTTACTTGATAGCGGGCTATGCTCGAAATGTCGTTATTTATTTTAAGAAACCTTTTTCTGGTGCAATTAACTTACATATCATTGTTATTATAGCATTATATTGTACCGCACGCAATCTGGTATATTTATGAAAAACTAAGGGTATTATCTCCAATGTGAAGGGTATGCGTGATTCCCGTCACCCTCAGAAACACCCCTATTCCCCTTAAAATAAACATTGCTTGGGGCACAATATTTTCCACGGGGCAATGCCCTATATTGCAAAGGATATAACTATTAATGGTTCTATACCAGCTCTCCCTTTGGAAACCTTAACCCTAGAAGAAAACCAACATTTATGTTCATATTTCCATAAAATTCTTGGTTTTAATGTACGAGCCTTATTATTTAGAGGCCTCAACATGCCGTCAAAACTTCCTCAATAAACTACCATTAAGATTATTTCTTGCTGTGGGTTAGCAAAATAGCAATTGAGCAACGTGGCTAATCATCCATCTGGACAAACGTATGAAAAATCAAGAGCTGCAATAATTAATAAACAACAATTAAAACTAGATATTTTCATATTGACAATTTTCCACTTAACAACATTTCTTTCCAAACAATTTACAAAAGCAAAAGAATTTAGTAACTACGAATTAACAGTAATAAACATATCACAAACAAATTAAGTCAAATATATGCAATTTCAGTCATGTGTCCATACAGAAACGAGCATCGGACTCGGAACTAATGCGTCACGCATGCAGAATTTTCTGGGCGTAGGACAAAAACTAAAGCAGTTTCTTAAATCAAGAAGCCAAAAAGCTTACTGCTCGCTGGGTATTGCAAGAGAGTAAAAAATTTCTGATTTTCTCTGCCTTATAATTGAATTACATGATACTTTAGGCCAAACAAAAATAATTATTCAATTTACAGTAGTTTAAAGCGCACCCAGTTGTGTCAAAAATACACGTTATAGGTAACAAAAAGATTTGTAACAATAAAATCGAATCCACGATTACATAATGCTGAAGTGTGATAAGTTGACTGTATTTTTTGGTTTGAGAAAAGCAGAGTAGCTCGTAATGTTGTCTGAAGGAGCAAGGGGAACATATGTGCTGAAACAGGGAGTATAGGCAACTCACTTGATTCTGTTAACAACGTTATAAAAAATCAGTGAAATCAGGAAAAAAATTTTAAGTTCGTGCATAAATAAAACTGCATAATTCTCTAGCAACATGGAAAATTCAGGCATAAATTTTTCGAATGCACATCTTACCTGTGATAATGCATATACCCCTTGATAACATATACAAGGCATCCTTGCTAAACAAAACATTGTTCGTGGTAAACATTTACAATGCTGTATTAGGCAGTCTATGTGAATTCTCTTATTTATATTAAACAGGACTTGGCTAGGGAATAAGGAAGGAAGGCAGTCTTCGGTAGATTTTTTGTTTTTACGATATTTAGGTTTTCTAAAAATGAGGCATATCCAAGCTGAGCTTTTGTGCGATGCAATTGAAAAATCTCCTTTTTAGGGGTTCGAGACAATCACAATTATTTATAAGTCAGAAATATCAGCGAGTTCTATTAGTTAGTGTTTTGTTGGTGATACTCCTTTGTGACATGAGATTGAATGAGATTGAGAAATGCGCTAAACCTTCCCCCTTTTACTTGACAGCCATTTCTGTGCTGACGAAGACATATGATGCTACGAAAGCTATTGTAAAATTGAATCTTAATTCCAAATATTTACTTTCAAAGTAGACCAAACTCTTTAACTCAATATAACATGAAAAATTTGTATCTTGCTTGAGTAATTTAAAGACAGAAAATATATTACACAAATATACATAAAGAAAAAGATCTATTCTTTTTTAACTCAAAAAAGTTTTGACTCTAGTATTTCTCACCGAGAGGCTGAATAGCCACTTGTTCTAGAGTTTGGCCTCAGCTTCCACTCATCTCTTAAGCGACTGACAACATCTTGCTTCGTAAACGAATAGCCCCTTGATGCTCGATGTTTTGATGAAAAAGTCGGGGACACCGTTCTACCTGAATATGCTTTGTACGGCTTTACATTAGGCCATGTATGTCTAAAGATAGAAATAAAGAAAGACTTTTGAATAAGAACTTCAACAAATTTATACAAAAACAGGCTAGAGCACAGTAATTGCTTTAGGAAGAAAAGTAGAAAACTAACAACATTTTTCGACACATTAGGTGGTTCGACATATTTCGACATAATCCACGTGTCCCTGACACATTTGGAGCCCAGGTTTAAATACTGATTCGATGGTGATGCATTTATGTAAAAGAAAACAGGGTATTCGGTATCGAGCGTTTATAGCTCGATTTGTGCCACTTCTAGACACAAGCTCCTTTGGGAAAGCATTCTAAGGTTTTTTTTCATGCAAAAATGAAGAAACAAAGACAATTTTTTGCAACATAAAAACAAATGTTTTGATAGACATAGAAGAAGGGAATTTTGTTGCTGATTTTTCTTCTTCTAGGCGACTTGAGCAGCCAAATTACAATCTTACCGACCAACCTCTGGAAAAACTGGGGCTATCACAGCCTTAAATACTATCATATACCTTCCTGTTCTTACGTACCATTGCCTACTGAAGGAAATTATCATTGAAATGGGGCTACAAATAGGTACAAAACCAGCAAATATATACCAACCTTCGTTCAATTTTGCCACTTTCAATAATCCATCTCCGGTCGATTGGAATAGGTTTGTGCAATGTGCCTGCCGTTCTGTTATCCTTTGGTGCGTTGTAAATACTTAGGCCTGCTAAGTTCATGATTGGAGTGGGCGTGCCATTATCTCCGTGGCTAACAGAAAACACGGAACTGTCCATCTCACCAATGTCTGATCCTCTTTTGGATTTAAAATCCCAGGAATCGTTTAGAGATTCTAGGAAATTAAAGCAAAGGAGAGTTGCGATACATTTTTCTAATCTCAAAAAATATAATATTTTAAGAGAGTTTAAAATTTAATTGGAAAATGCAGCAACTAGATCCTGTGCTAATTCTTCAAAAGTAATTTGGCCATTTTTATCAATCTAAGGAAGAGCTAAAGGAGAGGGCATTTAGAACCCTTGGTAAGAAGGAAAACCAACTTTAAAAGGGGCTGATGATATCTTGATGAGAAGAGTATGGAAGAAGATGGAAGGACGAGATAGTTGAATTTATCAAATTTGATAGCGAACCTATCGTGATCTGGGCAATAATGTTTGTGTAATATTCCACCATGAAAAATTCCCTGAAGAAAATTTAACGGAGAAAATATTTGCCTGAGTGCTATTCAGAGCAAAACATGAAAACCAGATTCGTTTGTGCTAAAGTGATGGAACATAATTAGCTTCATGAATTGATTTTGTACCTAATTGTTTTTTGTGTGCACGTGCTGTCATTTTTTATTAAAAATTGATACTTGAAGATTAAAAGATTTTTATGAAAGAAAGATTCATTTTATTCTTTGATTCAAATATTCTCTCATATTTTCTTTCAATGAATCTTCTTATATTTAATCACTCATTACTTATCTCCGGGGATCTAAGCTCTTCTTTGCAACGCTAAAAGTAGGAACTAGCTTTACAATCAAGACTTGATAATAAAAGCCAACACACCTCGTACATTGCGGAACCTGTATTCCCTGAACTTTCCTTCCATGGGTGCTCTGATGTCACTATTGGCCCTAATAAAGTCAATCCTATGACCTTCACGTGTCAGCCTCTCACTGGTGTTTGCCGTTAAGATCTTGGCTACTTCTGCCGATTCAATATCATTGTTATCAAAGACGGGACTGTTCTTGTCTCTGGATCTCGTGTCAAAACATAGCTCAAAATCTTCGTCAATCTTCCGTTGCACTCTCTTTGCTCTATCAAGTGCAAAATATCCATTGCGAACGATCGACTCTTCCTTTGAGCTATCACTTCCTTGCAACGATCGGTCATGGGTGCCTTTATCCGAATGTGTACTTCTATTTGTGCAGTCTTGCAATGGCTGTCTAAATCCATTTCTTTTCAAATCAATTAACGGCCTAACTAGCGAAGTAGATAGTCTATTGAAATACGCAACATCTTTGCCATCTTGTGAGGTAAAACTCGCTATTTTATTTTTCTGACTTTCATTGATGAGTTTCTTTGCTGGTGTGAGACACCTCTTTATTTCTCTAATGTCATTCTCACAATTATTTTTTACAATTTCTATTTCATTCTCCACAAGGCCTATTTTCTCTTCAATATTTTCCAGTCTATTTTCGTAGGTATTCTTTGGATTAACAACTATAGGCGTGTCTCTTTGCGAAGTATGTTTCAGGATGCCTCGTTTTGGTGTTGGAAAAGACGATACGACGATTTCGAAGGCCGCGTCAGATTCGCTTGTTGTGTCCTGGCTGTCATGATTCTCGATTCCGTTAGACAGTTCTGGCGGTAAACTTAAGTCAGTTATATCTAAAGGCCCATCGTCATACACGCTGTCGTCATTAGCATTGCCATGGTGATCTGTAACGAAAAGGGAGGAGACATCAAGAACAGAGGAACACCTCAAATAAAACATTAAGGAAACAGAGCTTTTGGAAAGTGTTGCTAGCGTGTGGTGTCACAATTTTGTTTGTAATTGTTAATACGAATTCCCATCGCCAAATTTTATTATTAATCTTTCATACAGCTAACTTTCAACATAGCGCTAAAAGCAAATCAAACTCATCGTTTATTGTTTCTGGCTACTTTCTATCAGCAAGTCAACACTATCCGACCTTTCATATTTCAAAGAAAGTCTGACGCAAATTCTTTCGGTATGTCGTAAAATATGTCCAATTTTCTGTGCAACCTTCAAACTTTTACTCTTTACGTTCACAGGCTATTGGTCAAAGAACAATTCTAGGGTCGTATAATTTTACCCTTCTTATAGATCGTTTCTTACTCATTCATTAATGACATAAATTATTGTACTAAGAAAGGCAAGTATTTATATTCATCATTGACAATCATGCCATCAAAAATTCCGAATAATGAAACTGGATTTTAGGACCTTTGCTATTAAAAAAGTAAAACATTTATATAAAAAATGAAGCTGGGAATTTGGTCCGAAAAAAAGGCCTGAGGCAAACTGATCTTTTGTCTAAAATCTAAACAATAAAGGATAATTCTAAAAAATGAGCAACTTATTTAGTACCTGCAGCCTCCCAGATATCATCATTTTCGTTGCTTTGGCCTCTAACAGATTCGCGACCGTCTTTGATTGGCGAAAACAGTCCTGTTATTCCATGGATATGGTTTGCTGTCGATTCTTTTATCGAATTTCTATCATAGTGCATATGGGGTTCGAACTTGGATGCAGACATCATCGAAACATCCATGTCATCTTCACGTTTGATTGGCGAAAATCCAGGTATCTCAACGGGCGCAACTCTGGTTGATTCTATTATATCCGCGAACGAATCTGATGGTTCGGCAGACATGGTTTCAACTGCGAAGCTTTTGGGATGGAATGCGACACTTTTACCTCGACGATCACCTGGTGAAAGCTCTAGATCCGAGCTTACGAGCTTTTCTGCGCGTAACGGCGAATTTTTTATCGAAGATATAGAAAAGTCAAATGAGGAATCAGACGAATCGAGTCTCGTAAAAGATTTGGCGATGTCGATGTCGTCATCTTCGTCGTATTCATTGTTGTTGTTATCGTCTGCTGTTTTGATTGGTGACAACACGGGACTGTTCAATGGGTCGCAGACGAAAGAAGACTGGAGAACTGAGTCGTTATCTGATGTGAGACCCTTATGTGGCGTCCCATCACGAAATGGGCTGGATGTCACCTACAAAGCCAGGGAAATATTTCAAATTACGCTTTGTGTCATATGAAACGATTTTAATGGGAGTTATGTGGCATGTTTCTAAAGATCAAGAATTTCCCATTTTGGAGATTTGTTACACTTCTTAGGCAAAATACATCGAGGATGAATTTTTTAAGATTAGGCAAAAATCAGCCCTTCTATATTTTCTTGAAAGTATCCACGTGTTTTTTTTGACATACAGATGAATGTGAATTTTAACGTCACATTTAAACTGATTATTGTTATTTTTTGGGAATTTGGTACTGTTTTGTCCAATCATACACGTTTATTTGCTACAACCGAGCTCTCTCTTGTGAATCTCTGTTCTCGCAGGGTACCTTCAACAATGCGGCACAAATGCACTAACGCTGAATAGATTTCGTGTATGAAAAACTAAAAATAGCACTATAAGAAGATAATATATTTCAAGCTTTGGAAACACAGCCCATCACTAGCCTGGGATCAGCCTTATCAAATGCAAGTTATTCTTAAGTGGTCTTCGTATAAAGTACTTTATATCACTACAT